AACCACTCTCACCACTGGAAAAAGTTAATAGCTATTGTAAAACCAATACAATTCAGACAGTTAATACCTTAACTGGAAAAACATACAGTATGTCCTGAAAATACAAAATTGTTTCTGTATCTTAGGCATAAATATCCCCAAATGGAATTTTATCCCGAGATAGCTCAGTGTTTTGACTGCCTGGTGTGTAGCCTTATCGTATTTAACCCATCAGATACTGCCAAAATACATGTTTTGGTGAACCCCTAAGTCTCTGTTTAACCATGAAAACGTTTTGAAATTTTATTGATGCGATTCATAGCTTTTATGAGTTAAATTTGGTATTGCTGTGTCTTTTGTTGACTGTCACACCTGTTAGCTTTGGTGACATTTATGTTGTTAAACCGACAAGAAAATAACACCCTTTTTAATGGTTAGATGCTATACATGCTTCTAAAAATTTGTGCAACTACATATGTTAACTAATAATTTACAATCAATAACGATGTGGTGAAGATAATTGTCAAGTGAAGTATAAAAATACTGGTACTTCAATAAAAAATGTTTGAGCTGCCTATGAAACATCATTATGTAAAAATGAATCATGAGTTACTTCAGGCAATGGAAGGCATTAAAAATAAAACATACTTTAAAATTACTTTCTCAAATATAAAAAAATAATGCTTAAGAATGCTGTACATAATGACGTATAAATGATGTGTTTTTTTTGTAGTCCATGTAAGAATTGCTATTGTTCTCGCACTTGCTTCATTTCATTTTGGTGGTTCTGTGTTTTTTAGGTTTTGAATGTTCTTGTGACTTCCAATTGTATTAAACATAGGATAATCAAAGGGTGACAAATTGCATTTTATTCTTGGCCAAAATTGGAGCATTAGACAGGAATAACATTTAGACACAAATATTTCAGAACAGTGTTTTTGGGCACCTATTTTAGTGGCTTTTTTTCTCTCGCTGTTTTCCTAAGTAAGATGATAAAGCTCAGTTCTCACAAAAGTGGCTTGAAGGAAAGGGTGTTTTTGCTTTGCCTAATAACAGATCTGGAATGTCACCATCACCTGAAGTGATGGGAGAATTCACCTTCACCTTCGTGTGGAAAGGTGGAATAATGGATTTCTGGTGCTCTGGAATACTCTACTGTCGCAGATTTCTCCAAGCTTGTATTCCATGCTAAGGTGGGGTTTTCTTTCAGTGACAGGGAGCTAACTTGTCTGGTTTACAGCATTTTATCCGATTACTACGGTATGCAAAATCTTTGAGGGAGCAAAATATATTTTTAACCTGCCTTTTGCATGTGACTAAATGTAGGACGGTTTAAAGCACTGAATGACGAATCACTCTACATCTTCGTTTGGTTGTGTAATAGTGAAGATTGCAAAGCTTCGAAGTTCACTTTAGGAAACTAAGAAAGTGTTTTGGGAATTAATAGAGATTAAACCTGTGACGTCTCCACATACTATGGCAGTCATCAGTAGCATCAGTGGTGAGATCAACTGCAATTAAGTGCAGTTCTGTTTTTAATAGCTGCACTCACCTTATTAACAGTGGGAACTCTTTGCTAACATGGACTAGGTTAAGAGTGGCTAGCAGGTTTGCATTTTAAAATTATACCTTATGTTAACATGTACGTGTTTTATGCCTTGATGGCTGTGCAATAATGATACATGTAATTGAACCTGATGTGCTGTACTGTATGTGTTTTTCTATGTAAAATAAAAAATAATTGGCAAGCTGAAAAACTGACAGTTTCACACTCATGAATTAAATGTACACTGACGTTTACTTCAGCAACTCTTTTGGTAAAATTCACTTAAGGTAACATTTATGTTTAATGAAATGGGATTGATTCTCATTCTTTAGATCTATTTTTTGGTTGTGCAGTTGGATTTTTCTTTATTATTCCAATGACTTCTTGACATGGTTTCCATCCTCCATTCCAGCAGTACAAAGTAATAAATCTTGAAGTGTTATTAAAGTGCTTATGAACTTGGTGGCGTGTGAGGCTGTGTTCACTATTGTAGCTATGCTTTGAGTGCCTGGTAGGGACTTGTGAATTAATAGGTTTGTGTTAGAGACACCTGAGTCCACACGAAGACTTGAATAAAACAAAGTGTCATTTTTAGAGGCTGTAACCTTCATGTGGAAAGAGTAATGTCAGTAGTTCTGTAGAACCAGGTCCAGGCATCTTTCTGTGGCTCAGACGTTTTTTGTGTTGTACATCTTTGTATTTGCACACACAATTAGTAAATGACACGAGTTAGTAACACTGAAGCAATAATGTCGAAATGTCCCATCCCTGTGCCTTTTTTTTCTTTTAATGCAATTTTTTTTCCCTTCGAGAGAATCCTAGGTGCCATAAATAATTGATGAGAACTTTTCTGGGACAAGGAAAATGTAGCTGTGTGAGGTAATTGATAATCCTTGGTTTGGAGGACTGCCTAGTATAAGTATATGTACACATGCACGTACGTCTGTTTCCTCAGGACACCCTGAATAGCACAGTCCTTTAATATAAGAGTCCTTAGGAGGAACATGTTACAAATACAGAAGACGAGAATGACTGCCTTGCGGAGAAGGAATTTCCCTTTATGAAAATGAAGCATGGTCAGTCTAAGACAAGCTTTTTGGGACCAAAAATTCTTCATCTTGGATTAAAATGAACATCCTGGCAAAGTACCAAGTGCTGGTTGAGGTATAAAAGTCTGACACTTTTGTAATCAGTATTTCAGATGATTGGTTTTAAATTAATTTATATACATGTACTGTACAACATACTTATGAAATATATTTTCTTAGTTAATTACATATTTCTTGTCTGTGAATGAACATCTTTATCTTATTCTACGCTTTTAGGTGCTTTCTACAACTAGTGAATACAACTAACAGCTTGTTATGGGAAAAATCAGTCCTGTTTAGCAGCTGCAGGGTATATACTTCACCTATGTGAAAAGAAGAATTACTTAGCCTCAGAACATAGCACAAATAGTGTTTCATGTTGAAAAGCATCATAATCATTGCAGTGGGAGCCACTAAAATTGTGTTGGTGATTACAGGGACTGTTCTCTTTCTTTTCTAATACTCAGTGTGCAGATGCAGACTGCAGTTTTTACGGGAACTAGACAGTCTTTCCCCCCACGGAGCAGCAGTATAATATAGCACTGATGGAAAGATTTGTCTGCGAGTGTAATTGTGTTCTTGGTCTAGCCACCTCCTGTCTGTAATGATTCTTCCCCAGGGTCGCTGTCTTCAGCAGCTCGGTGTTCTTCAGCAGCACGAATGCTGGAGGCTTTCATATCTGTCTCTTATCTTCTGGCTCTTTAACCTCCTCCATAATTGTGTGTGCTCTGTACCAATAGGATCTGCCCTTTCATTCGGCACTCAAAGTGTCCGATATTTCTTGAACTACAGGAGGTAACTTAAGTAGATTCTACAGCGATGAAATCCCAAATAGTGTGATCAATGGCATCTGTACAACCATAACAGTGATAAGAAGATTATTTTATACTGCAGAGAGCACACGCCCATAGCAGTATATATGTGAATTTGATCAAGTGGAGAGCTCTGTCAGTGTGCGTTGGCTGCAAAGGAACCAGTAAAGGTTAATTTCACTGTGAAAAGTAACGAGAAGAAGCATCATTGGCTCATCATTTGCTGATGAGTCTTTTTCAGGTTGTTTCCTTTTCTACTTTTTATATTTGTTCCTAAATATTAATTTGGTTTTATTACCAGCTTAAACCTTTTTGAATATTTAAAGGTTTGGATCCATGCTACTGTATGTGAGATACCGTGTATTGTGGCAAAACTGTGTCAGATTGTCCCTCCATTTGAAGCTGCTTACTGTGGTCCTGTCTATACCGGAGGAGAAGATCCCAGCTCTGATCATGCAGAGTCTCTTAAGCAGCTCAGTGTGTCAAGATTAGGAAAAGTGTGGGGCTGATTCCAGCCTACGTGATCAAATTCAATTAAATGGATGTTGAAAAAGTGGCAAAGATGCTTAAAAGCCTAAACACTTTCATTAAAGTTTATACCCAAAGGTCAGTGTTTTTCCAACAGAGCTGGATTTATCTTGTTTTTTTGTTGATCCTAATGACAAGGGTAATGCAAAACAATCATGCATGATGTACTGATCTGTTGAATTTTCCTTGTAGAAAGATGTACTGTAACAACATTTTTACAAAGGATAATCGTTCTGTCATCAGTAATAAGGAAAATACGTTATTTGTGTTTTAGAAATTGGAAGTATTTTTACTTATGTTCACAGTTTATCTTTAGAGTATTGGAACAAGTATTGTAGACCTGACAAAAAGATATTTGTGGTATATTAAGCTAGTAGGGTGTTTTTCAAATATGGTGAGGAATTCAGACAAGTTCAATACAGTATGTTGCTGTGCACTACAGTAAGTGGCTGTTTCTAAACCTAAAACTTTTAAAAATGTAATCCTTTTAGTGGTGTTTAAGAGATTAGTGCTCATCACATGAGAAGGGAGAAATGAAGGCAGCCACAGTGAGGGTCTTATTTGTTGGAGACGATACTAGATTACAATGTTTCGGATCAATTTTGCTAAATTATGCAGCATAACGGTAGGTATTTATTTATAACTGACCTTATATTCTAATTCTAATTTGAATTTTCTATAAAAGATGCTCTTACAGTTTTTATAGTTACATTTAGTACAGTCTTCTTAACATGCTTTGTAGTTTTTAATTTAAGGTTATGGTTAAGAACGTTTAAATAACAATGTGTTACAAATCTAATGTCGGTTATCGACATTTTTTAACAGCAATCAAAAACTATATCAGTCTTTTTGAAATGTATTTTGTAGAGGTGCAGACGGATTTCAAGGCGGCAGCTCGCTCCTGGATCCCCTGAATCTCCTGGCTTACAGGGCTTGAGGAAGTTTTCCCTTTGGGATGATCGGGAAAAGGCAGATCTGTGTCTTTTTCTCCCCCGCACCTGAAGAAGCAGGCGCCGCAAGCTGCTGACGCACCTGTGTGTTTTGCAGCTGGCCGAATACAGGCAGAGGAAGGCGCAGGCGGACGGGCAGAAGAAAACGAAGAAGAAGAAGAGACCGGCCGGGGCGAAGGACGGCGAGCCGTCCCGGGCGGAGGAGCGCGGAGAAGCGGGCGCTCACTCGGCTGACCCGACAGTATCCCGCAGCCTGCGGAGCGGAGACACCATCCGGCAGGACCAGACCTACACTATAGAGGTACGCTGCGCCCTTCCGCCCTCGCCACGAGGTGTCGTCGCAGGGCCTCCCCGATTTCGCTGATTGCGCCGGCTTCCACAAACACACGAAGTTGTTTCCTTTGCATTTTTCTCTAGTTGTGTTTAAGGCTGACTCTCTCGTTCTAAGCCTCTAACCTTTCTCTGGTTCATGCTTCAATGTTGATGAGCCAAGTAGTCACTTATAAACATTCACTACAAACATAAAATCCTGTCTCTGAAATGAAAGAGAATTGTATATCATATTTTTGCTCAGTATAAAAATGCTTTATATGTGACAACTACCTTATAATGATACTTCACTATTATGATATTAATTATTATTATGTTTTCATAATCGTGAACATTTACATAGGCATTATTTGTGTTTTGATTGAACATCATTACAGATAGTGGCATGCATGCCTATGAATGCATTTTTCTACTTTTTAAAATGTCCCCTGTCCATTTTGTTAAACCAGGTTGCCTTTTTTTGTTCAGTGGCTGGAGTGAAATGAACAAGCTGCTATCTTAGACCCTTAAATGTTTTCAGTGGCACATATTTTGTAAGTCTATAGTTGGCATGGAAGTGCAAGCTTTAAAATGAAACCTTGATTAGTACATTAGTGGACAGAAGAACAGATGTAGCAGGAGCTGATAAACTCCTTAAATCTTTCTTCTCTGGAATAGTATTGTTCTGAATCTTCATTATTTATACCACTTCACTCTCTAAAAAGGGACAATTGTACAAAATCATGAAAATGAAAATATTTTTTTAGATTTCCAAAAGAATTTAAAAAAAAGTTAAAAGCCATTTATATGCTGCAGTACATACATAGACTCCTGTGCAAATTTCTTTGCAGTTTTTGCATTTTGCATTTGCCATTACATTCTTATGTTGTTTTCACTTAGTATTTTCTTCTTTGTGCAGAAATACAATTCTGTGGTAATTTTCTTGTGAAATGTGAGCTATTTAGTTTTATGATAACATCATCTTGATCTGTATTTTGTAGTGCTGTACAAAACCAAGTTAAACTTTATGAATGTGTACATTGGAACAAATAATGATAATTACAAGGAACACCTGACAAGTTAATTAAATTTGGTTGGTAATTGTGGAGGATTAGGTACCACAGCACTTTAGAGAGGAGCAGTCAATATTGTTTACTCTGAGTTATTGTGATCAATGTGAATGAAATATTACTAAATAACAGATTGGGTTGTTCTTAGGCTGAATTATTAACAAAGTTATTATAAAGCTAGAAAAGATTAATAAAGGCTATCATTCAATTGATGATTATAAAGTATTATAACATTTGATTTTGTCATATCTATATATATTAGTCGAGTGGATGGATTGCATAGATGGGCCCATGTTGTAGTTATAGCTATTAAATTTATAAATCATGCAGTTAATAATAATAACATCACTTTACTTAACCCTTTACAATTTCTTGCATTAGGAATTAACTTTTCGCATACCCCAGCTTGCTCTCCATGAGACACACAGACAGGGAGAGAGCTTGGGGTCAGAGCACAGGGTCAGCCATTGTATGGTGCCCCTGGAGCAGTTGGGGTTCAGGGCCTTGCTCAGGAGCCCAACGGAGTAGGATTCCTCTGCCGGCTGCGGGATTTGAACCAGCAACCTTCTAGCCACAGGCGCAGATCCTTAGCCACAGAGCCACTGCTCCGCCCCAACTTTTTTATGTAGTAATTATTGAAATAATGTAAATGTTTTTTAACCATGCCCATTTTGTTTGCTTTCATTGCCTCTGCAGTATATGGGGTTGTGAATTAGTGCGTTGTGTATTGTGTGCCTGAAAACTAAGCAAACAGCACAGCTGTACTACTTAAACCTTGAAATGCAGCATGTGATAAAATAATGGCTGGCAGGACTGTTGGTGATTATGCTGAGATCCTCTTTGTGTGTGTATAGCACGTCACACCTGTCAGCCTTCTAATGCAGAAGATCTGCTTATAGAATACAAACCATGCTTGTATGGGCTTCTGGGCTGGCATGGGGTTGTGTTAATTATTAAATACGATTTTCTTCCTTCATGACAGAATGTCTACTTTATAGGTAGTAATTATGAATTGCAAGGTGGGGTCTATAGAGTGATGGTCTCTTTCTCTCTCCACTATGTCAACAGTTTATCAAAATGCTACATTTTAGAACATAAGGTTGCAAAAGAGAGTTCAGTTGTTTGGTTTTCACTAAGTGAAACAAACGTTTTGTCCAGCGGTGGACTAAAGGTGCCTTGCTAAGGAACCTGTTCCAAATAAAGACACCCCTGTTCTCTATTCTAAATAAATTCCTTCTTAGTTACCAATTGTGACCCTGTGTCCTTGTTTAGGTACTGAGCATAAAATAGTCCACTGGGTTAACTCCATCTATACCCCTTAAGATCTTATATACTGTACTTGGATCATATCTGCTCTTAATCGCCTTTGTCTAGACTGAAGAGCATTAACTGTCTTTACCTGTTTTGTATTTGACAGTCCCCGGGGGTCAGGAATCAAACATGGAAAGATTTCATATGAGGTCCTTCAGTTCTTCTCAAAGGTTTCTCAACACAGGAATCGCAGATAATAGCAAGAAAGCTTTATTTCTGGGTGGTGGCATATTTGCATTTTTCCATTACTAAAAAGTGCAAACACCTGACATTGTATTTTTGCATGAATTTCCTTTAAATTCATTTTACTCGAGTTTTCCTTAGTGTGCCAGAAATAAAACAATGTCAGATTATTGACATTTTTACATTTTGTATTAACAAGATGATATACTGTATTCATGTTTTAATTCAGTCTCTTATAGACAGTTTTGTATCATAACCATCTTGAAGTTCTCGTACAATATTTATGCAGAGTTTGGAAACAAGTAGGTAGTCTGCTATGTTTTGTTTGAATCTGGAGTCAGGCCTGATCCCTTTTTTTATTTCTACAAAATGATGATTTAATGAGTTGTTTAAAGCAGTGTAAAATTGTATTGTGAGGTTTAATAGCCACAAAGAAGGTTATCCTTAAACTCTGTGTTGAACTTGTTAGAGCGACTTCCTGTATCATTGATGATTAATGATTGTGTTTAGAGATGTACAGTAGTTCATCTTGAGTGGTCAGCTGCCAGGTTAAATTACAGTTCACCAGCATTAGAAGATGGTATCTGCTCTCGAATGATCTAGAATGCATTATAAGTTAACTGCATTTTTAGTTTTACTTTATTCTTTTTCTGTGATTTCCTTATATAGAATGCCTTGTGTTTCTGTTTTTTTTTTTATTTTTTTATTGCTTTTCATCTCACAAACACACACCACCAAGTCATTTTGTGGAAGACGATATTGATGATGCTGCGATTGCTGATGACATAGCTTGGCAGGAGAATCATTACAATATCTTGCATGGACTATGTAAAATAACCTTCCCACCAATACAGGTAGTTTGTTGATTGCAATTATCATTAATATTAACGTCCTGAGAAATTTGCAACGCGCAGATACTCAACTCGCTTTTACAACATCAAAGGTCTCATCAAAACCCATTAAACAGGAAGGAACAAGTACTGCCTAAAAATGAGCAAAACCCCTAATGAAAGATATGCGGTTGCCATTGGCTACTTTTGTAATTGTTTGAAGAAGATAAACAGGAATTAATGCAAATACAGAATTCTAGAGCCTTTTGTAATAGCTAGTTGATTTGCAGTATCAATTTCCACTTTTATATAGTCATTTTAATTAAAGAAACCAATTCAACCAAGATCATTTCATCTGTCATGCTTGCTTTTTTTCCATGTTCTGTACAGTAAGTGTTAAGGTGACTGCAATACATGTTACTGTATAGTAAATAAATGTAATTTTGTATTGTCAATTCTGATAGCTTTTTTGTTACTCAATGTAATTTCCACTGGGGATCGATATGGATTTCTGGGCCTTTATCACCTTATCTATTGCCCAAAAACAATCACAACAGGTCTTGTCACCTACTTAGTGTTTTAAACAAGAACAGGTTCTTGGTAGCAAAGTCACTGCAGGCAGTTTTGCATTAGTGGTGGTGTATCCCAAGATGTTTTGCAGCAACTAGCAATTGCACTTCATCAGCTTTGACATAACTGATGCTTTGGTTGTGAACAAAATCACAGTTTCAGATAATTTAACAGAAATCCGGTTGATGCCAGTATCATGTGAGAAAGGAGCGAATTAAACTTGGTACAGTGTTTTGGCACGTGTAGCTGAAGAAGGAGCCTAATCTTTTGCTCATTCAGTGTTCCTAAAGAATCAGTTTCTGATTTACAACCAGAGGTGACTGCAAATTTATTCGTTGCCTCGGAAACAGAAAAATAAGTTATTTCAATGGGTTGAATCCAAAGATTTTTTTTTTGATGACCTTTTTCTGTATGGCCAATTGACAGCCCTGTGATAAGTATATAAGAAGATGGATAAATCCTTAATAAATTCAGCGAGAAAGCTGTTATTAAAAAAAATGTTTTCATTGGAAAGATGTTGGCCTAAGTATTTTGTTACATTAGATGTACAGTATGTATGCCTTTCAAAGGGGATGTGTGTGTTATTTGTTCTCTTTTGAAGAGAGGAAAGAAGAAAAGGAGCTTTTACTCCATGGGGAAAAAACAGCAATGCTTGTTCTTGACTTTAGGGTTAACACACACCCCAGTAAGGTCCCACCTGGTTTTAAATTGGGATTGTTTCGGTTGGGATACGTTTTTTGTTCTAAATGGGAACAATAAATATTTATAATTGTCTCTAGTCTTTGCCTTTTCCCCGATGTACTGTAGCTACTTTCATGCGAGTGTTTTGAAAGATATCAACACACCTTCCCTTCCCCAGCAAAATCCATAAGTTCCCACTAGCCAGATGTAAATATGCTGAGTCTTAATTAATGTTGGTGTTTTTAGGTAATGAGACGTGAAAACGTGTACCCAGCACCCCATGTCCTTGTTGGGGCGAGTGGGAGGAAGCATTAAAAGAAAATACAGCTCCTGGAGGCAGCAGCCCAAAATGACTGTGAAGTCCAAAAACTCGAGTTCTGTCAGAAATGGCGGTGACTTCTTTTGTTTGACCAGATTGACAGGCAGCAGCTGTTGATCCACCTGCAGTGAGGCAGTTTTTGTTCAGTCTACCTCATTTTTGTAGCAAAAATTAGGGCTCTGAAAAGCCCTGTTCGAACCACGCTCCTGAACGTGCAGCAAGAAAGGTTCCAAATAAAGGGTCCATTCAGATCTTCTAGCTTTTGGCTGGATACAAGAAGATAATTGATCTCAGGACCTCGTCCTGCTGCGTCTTTAAAGAAAGAGTATAATAGAGGGAAAAATACTGATGCATCTTTTTTTCAGAGTGTTTTTAAATCACTGACATTGTATGATGATCATGTTTTCTAAATAAAATATGGAATTAGCTTGAGCTTTTGATTCAATTACTGTTGTAGTGTTCCAATTTTCTGTGTAACTTTCTCTACTGAAGGTTGCTGTGGAAACGGTGTTAAAGTGCTTCTCTGTCAGGCACTTATAAATGAATGCAGTAAAGTATTTCTCTAAAATAAAGTCTTTTCATAATGCATATTTACGTATTTTACATTGCAAAATGTTAGTGTTCAAAATTAAGATACCCAGTGCTGTCAAAATGCCTCACTTTTCTTTTAACTACTGTACTAATGCATTCAGGAGTTTTGATTAGTTTTATTTTTTCAATATACAGTACCTTTGTTATATAAAAGATGTTTCTCTTAAAAGGGAAATGATTACTGAGCATTTGGTCCTCATATAGAAATGGATAGAAACCGAATGATAATTTCACAAGGTTAAGCAGCATTGCATCATTATTTTTTCCAGGGATAGAGACTAGGAAATTACACGGTTAGTTTTTAATTAAGTCCTAAAATGACAGGTCATTTGACTTCTTGTGCAAATAATTCGTTCAATTAGATACTTAAGATCAGAGTTGAAATGGTGCATCCCTGAAATCTTGGGCTTGCACGTAGAAAATGTACGATCTTCACTATGAATCAGTAAGGCAATAATAATTCTCTTAATTCAAAATGCGGCTGGAAGGTGTCCATTTTCCCCATTGGGCATGCACATTCATTAATGTGGTTCATTTTTAGCCTTGAAGTAATCCTTAATAAAAATAACTTTCCAGATTTTACAGCATTTAAATACATAAAAATTACAAACTGGCATTCCATACAAAGAAGTTGCGATACCATGTTTGAGAGTTTGTAGACCAGATATCAATATCAGGAAATATACTGTACATAAACTATGCAATACTTTTTTTTCCCAAATTCCTTCTTCTCCTCTAGTAGTAGAGATATAAATGTCATACCTGCTATACTGCTGGACGTGATACTGTAACAGATGTCCTGGATTCAGTAGTATTTTTGTGTGCCTAGGGTAGCATATTTGGGCATAATAGTATATGAGGGCCTTCAGCTGTGTAATTCTGTTTCAAAAAGAGAGCCACCTGAGCCTGAAAAGTTCAGCCATTACAAGAAATTTGAAAAATACAAAATGATCAATTCTAGTGTCTAATTTATTGATAGCATCTCACCTGCAGACATTTTTGGAGGATCTACTGTATAATGCACTACAAATTGCTTTTTAAATAGCATTTTCCTACAGTAATTTAACATTTTATTTTTAGGAGCCCAAGTTGGTTTCTTTAATTACTTTTTAACATTTTTTTCATAATTGTTGTACTCATTAAATGTGTAATTGGCCCTGTTTTTTTTTTCTGGACAGGTGCCACAATAAATGTAAATACTGTACACACTTTGAAAAATTAAATAGTTAATCTGAGCTCCCAGTTCCCTGAATGCTTGGTGAATCAGCATAGGTTCATACTGGTGAGACTTCCAAAAGAGTACATGCCTTGTCATTTTAATAGGGCTTGAACTGCTCTGGTCTCATTGGCTTTTGTGAAGGAGAAGCTAAAGCTTGATTGAGATATCTGTGCTGATTGAAGTCTGGAAAAAGGTTTAGAAACTTCTGACTTTGATGTAATCACATCACGATGCAAATCAAACAAACTAAGACCGCTTCAAAAAAGATCTCAGCGTAGTTGGGATGGACTGCACCAAACACAACTCTTCCAACGACAGAGACGGAGTAAGATGAAAAGATAGGGGTAATACCCACTGACTGTGAAGCTGCTCTTGGAGGCAAAACAAACTAAACCTAAACTAAACTGATGTGGAAAAAAAACCTTAATTGAAACAAAATTTGAATCACTCGCATGTGAACCAGGTGTAAAAGTGTGATGGATGCTGCACATTGGTGGTGGTGGAAAGCGCTTTGAGTGGAGTGTCCAGAAAAGCGCTATATAAGTGTAAGCAATTCTAATTATTATTCTTATTTTTATTCTTCTTATTATTATTATTATTAAAAGTGCCATCAATGAAATGGGCTTTTAATGATTTCTTGTGATATGCCTTTCTATTAAAAACTACACTTTTTAGAAATTACCATTTACTGTGTATTTCGATAAATGCTTTAAATATAGTACAGTTTTATGTGTTTTACAAATTAGAAAATGGCGGCAGTGATGCTCACCACTGCACCACCATGGCACCCATCTGTTTTGTAGTACTTCATTAAAAACTAAATCAGAAGCTCCCCAGAATCATAAGCGTTGTCTTGCTATTATTGCAGTAACAGCCTTTTTGTCTTCCCTATGTAGGCCAGTTCTGTTGACGGTTGATTTTGACAGTTCGTTCTTCATGCAGAAATACACGAGACTAACCAGACAGCTCCATTTGAAGTCCATTTGAAAGATATGCAGTACTTATATTTGGTCTCTTGCGCTTGTGACTGTGTGTCTTCTGTTTTTATTACAGCCTGAAAGTGAAGTCTCCACCACAGCAGATGACTACACATCTGAGGTAAGACTTTAAATGGTACAGTACTATCCAGAAATCTTCTTAAATGTTTAACTTATAAATTAGTTTTTGTTCTTGTGCAGTCTCATTTTTCAGGCTTTTCTGGGACAGTCGCCTAGTTTTATATACGTATATGTAGATGCTGCATTACAAACCCATGATCATGATGATGGATGTACTTTCTTTAAGGAGAAGGTATTAATTTTCATTTATTTGCATCATACAAATGCAAATATCCATGTATAAACGTGTTAATGATGCAATGAATTGTATGTTTTATAAATTACGGATAATTCCTTGTATTTGTATAGCACTTTTCAGCCCAAAGGATCCCAAAGTGCTTCACATAATTTATAAGAGGAGGGTCACTTAACATACCGTTGAAGTGCAGCATCCATTATACACCCATGGAGACATGAGGAGTTACTTCACCAATTAATTAAGGGTGGTGTTTAGCCATGACAGATTGTGCAAGCCCAAAGTGGAATTTAGCCAGGACACTGGAGATAACACCTCTAATCTTGCAATCGTTGCCAAGAGATCCTTAGTGATCAAGTAGACAGGTGGTCAGTTTAATGTAGAGCTGTCACCATTGTGGAGTGTTGGTTAGGACATTCTGATCCAGAGGAAGCACCACCTACCGGTCCACCAGTACTTCCTTTACAGCAGCAACTGTCAGAGGGCTCCCGTTCCAGTACTGACCAGACCCAGCCCAGTTGAGCCCCCGAGGTCAGATGCGTCCAGTCCACAAACTAGCAATGCTCCTATTCTGGTTTCAACCGTGGAGTGCACACTACATTCATGTGCTCCACGAGGCAAAATGGCTGTGTCAACCACCAGATTCCTGGTTGTTAGTAGAATAATTATGTTAATAAACCATATAGTGGTTACAGTATATGGTTTATTTACCATATATATTATTGTAGCATTTTTCTAGATATGTATGTAACCCATTGCAGTAATTCAGTGCTACTACCTGAATGCTACATACTGGAAATGTATGGCTAACTGATTACAGTTTCTGAATTGCCTGCAGTTTTTAACTCGGGTTTGCTGACACTTGAGCAGACTGAACAAGCAGAATGTATATTGCACTCAGAAAGCATAGTGCCAAGGAGGCTGATCGCAGTGAGTTTGTGACCATTTCTTCCTGGAGACCCACAGTAATTTCCAATACGTTGGGGAAGGGCGAATCCACCGTGCTTAAATAGTTTCACTCTATCGTACAATTTCTTTTGCTGATCAGGCCTGGCAGAAACAAATTTATGCAACTTTGACTCTTAGTCTTTTGTAAAGATGCTTTATCCTGTCAGTAAATCAGAAAAACACTTTATTAACCTGTGTTGGACTAGCATAGCAATATAAAATAGCAAAAATAGCCTTGCAGAGAATTAGAGTAAAACAAAACAGTTGAAAAGAATAAAATGAAACAAATGTGCTTTTGGTGAATATTTAAAATATTGGACTATCAACTAGGCATCAAGTCAAGAGACATGAATACTTTAATGCTGGGGATGTATATTAATTTAGAATGTGTTTCTGGAGAACAAAAGGTGAGGGTGAGAACAAATTCTTTAAAACCCTCAGAACTGTTATTGCTTGTTTTTTGCCTGGCATTTGCCCTTGATGTTTGAACTGAATTAAGGACATACCTGCTGTTATTTCTCCATTTGACAGGGATTTGCAGCGCCGTGTTACTAAAAACACTGCAGTCCTTTGTGACTAAATACTGTTGCCAGGCACTACTCTTAGAAATCTCATTCTTGAGGTCAGCCTTCTCAGTGTTCTGTTTTTTCTGTTATTTCCTTTTAAAATTGGTACATTTTCTTGATTATATTCAAGTGCACTACACACCTAAAAGATGGCGTTTTGCTCGTTGTTTTTTTTCTTCCTTGGCTGGGTTCAGTCTATCAGTCATACAGTCGTCCCTTTTCCTTACAATTGCAAATTAATTCCAAAGAGTTAAATAACAAATAGTTTTGTGACTTGACAGGTAAATGGGTGTCTTGAAGTCGCAGTGAATACAGTGGAATCTAAGGATTTTATCAGGGTACAGTAAGAGACAGCAACACACCTTCTTGCTAGAAGCATAACGCTCACTTAGACCTGCTTTGTGTTTTCTGCTGCGCATACTGTGTGCACTGCATGTCAACCTTTTTTTACCTCACTAACAAATTCCTTTTAAACTGGGTTGCTGGGATTCTGCAGCTATGGCCAGTTGGGATTTACAGGCCAGGGAATGTAGACCTTCATACTTTAAACATACTTACATTATGCGTAGTGGGGAAAAGCCTGTTGGCATTTTCTAGGTGTAAATTACTGTACACTGAAAGCAGAGCTATTGTTTGTGGGGGGAGTCGGGCTGGCATAGCAGGGGTTGGTAAGCTGCTGCACGTTGCGGGCAATGCTTTTTGGAAGGACATTTTGGGAGCTGTGTCCTCTTATGTCGCATGTGGTGAAGTGTAGCAAGGCTCTTAATTATGACTGATGGCTTCAGGAGGAAGAAGTGCACGTCTCTGCATCGCATTCTGAGCACGAAGCGCACAGCTCTCAGACACGGCTGCAGATTATGGAGGATGAGCTGGCAGCCAAACAACAGGCTGTTGAAGAGCTGAGCAGGGAGCTGGAGGAAATGAGAGCTGCTTACGGGAGTGAAGGACTGCAACAGGTACCTCTCCATTTCTGCCTGTTGAATTGATTAGAAATCAGAATTTGCTCTCCTCTGGTTCTAGCAGCTGATTCATTCTGTAGTGACATGTCTGGGGTTTGGCGCTGCAGTGCTGCAGTGCTGACCTTCATTAAAGCTGAAGCTCAGGAACACTTGTTCTGTACTGATTACAAGCTTTTAAAATACTGCAGCACCTGTCTTTTGTTTTGCAGATGAATAATGCCGTATGAGATCATGCATGTTTTCACACAAGATTTTCCCACAGTTATTTAAGCTTATTATTTTCATTAAATATGACGGGTCCATGTTTTTATATTTAACTCAGTTTTCAGAACTTTTGATTATTGCCATTTGAGTTTATAGGAATTTTTCTTCAAATTATTGAAGACCAAGTTACACAGGACCTCATCCTGGTATTTGTGTGAAGATTTAGTTTCCCTTCTCAGGTTCAGGAATACATCCTGACCAATAGCCATGGCACTGAAAGCCATGACACTGAATAGCATTTGCCAATTTGGTTGCACAGGTTGAAGAATTTGTTTACTGTAGAGTAAGTGTTTTCTTGGGTTTTGCAGTTAGTAAAATTGTTTCTTCACATCCACAAACTGCTGTGGCACCCTCTTTTTGACATTGTGCAGGACAGATGATGGAGTGTGTTGTGGACCCTTGAAATGTGCTGTACATCACCTTTCTATGGAGAATCTGTAAATGTGAAAAAAATAGCTGATCAATTTTTAAATCTATTAGCTCATGGTGTCCATTTCTAAATGCACTAATTATTGTATAACATTAGAATTGTATAAGTCAATCTGCAAAATAACAAGAAATTTAAGAGCTAAACAAAAAACAGCAATGCACAGATGAACCTCCATTCTGAATCAGCAAAAACGATGTTCTGTAAAAGCTTATATATTTTAACATATGACAAACATTATACATGCCTTGTTTACTTACTGCCTCGATCTTATGGCATCAGCGTTATAACTGTGGTTCCTCATGGGTCCAATATGAGGTGGGTTTGTCAACTAGTGAGCCAGGATAGGGAGACAAGAAAGTGCAGGTAACTCGGAGGTATTAGTCACAGAGATACAGATGTTTCAAAGAAAGGTTTGTGTTTGATTCAGCATTTGCCTCCTTGCAAACACTTTGTAAGGAATGGCTTGGACAGGTGACAGCCAGGTGTATTGTCGGATTGTGTGGCTGCCCAGCTGTGATGTCTGGGAGGGTGTAGGAGTGACAGAGCGCCAAGAGCTTCCTGCTCCTCCCCAACAAGGTGCCGCTGTTCTGCCCTCAGCTCCGCTCCCACTCTCCACCCATCATAGAGACCTGAAAGCTGTATTCCAAAACCTGCAAAGGAACAGATAGTGGGTTTATTCCATGCTGAAAAGGAAACAGAACGTTTCAGCTGTGGAGCCTTCTTCGGGTGAAACGTTGTTTCCTTTCTTTTCTTTTCAACATGGAATAAACCCGCTACCTGTTCCTTTGCAGCCAACGCATGTTGACGCAGCTCCCTACTTTTTATTTTCCAAGACCTGCGTCCATCATGCTGCTGCTTCTGTTTTGTAAACAGGGTTGTGCTGTCTGGCAGTCTCTTAATAATAATGTTCGGAGATGCGCATGCCTGTTTCTTTATGGGGCACTGCCGGTTGAAACAACTTCACCTGCTTCTTCCTTCCCAGCTCCAGGAGTTCGAAGCTGCAATCAAGCAGCGCGATGGGATCATCACTCAGCTCACGGCAAACCTGCAGCAGGCCCGGAAGGAGAAGGACGAGATCATGAGGGAGTTCCTGGAGCTCACGGATCAGAGTCAGAAACTGCAAATTCAGTTCCAGCAGGTGACGGCGCCACTGGTCCGCCTCACGCCACACACCGCTTTCAGTGAACACTGAAGCAGCTGCTGTGCAGGGAGCAAAATAACAAATGGCTAGAGAGAGAACAGCTGCTTGAGCCCTCTGTGGCTAGTTTATTACCTAAAGTTACTCTGAAATATGGCTCCGGTGTGGCTCTGCTGTTCGAAATAAGACCTGTAACATCAAGAATTCTGGCATGAATTCTTTCTCTTTGTCTTATAAAGTGTTATTTTATTTTAGATTTTGTTCATCCTGTCAGATTAGGTAGTTAATGTTACTAGTATAGTAATAGAATAGTACTAGAACTGATCATTGTTTTTGAAATCATGGTGGAAGTGGTCCGATGACGATTCAGTATTACGTAAACGTATTCTTGTTCAAAACCCGCGCTCAGAATTTTATTTTACGGTCTATTCCTGTGAAGCGTTGCTGCAACCGGGAGTTTTTCTAAGATGCATGTGGCGCAAGTCAGGATCCCCGCCCACATGTGCCTCTAGTCCATTACAGGGCACACACAAGCAGTAAGCACAGGCCTACAGGTGCTCTCTAGAGGCAGAGGGTTCATCGGATACAGTCATGTAAAATCACATATTTGTAAAACATACGTCTCGTGGTTAAATGATCTTCTCTCTAGACCAATTTGAATATATTCTGCAAATAGAATTCTGCCCCTCTAAGAATCTTTTTTCCTATACTGTATTTTTTGGGTCATATTCCAAGAACAGAGATTTGCGTTACAGAATGAAATTTTATCCAGAGTTAGATCAATGTTATGACTCCCTTGTGTGTAGATCTTTGTGTAATAATACCCGCGCCTCATCTTTTAGTGACAGCTCACTTTTCCGAGTTTTCACTTTACTTGCATTGTGTTGATTTGTAGCCAAATCTGCAACATATGGCTTATTGAACTAACATGAAAAAAAGGAATTTTCAAAGAGTATATAGTCCTATTGCAAACATTTTATTGAGACCAAATGAGGCATTTTGACTATCACCGATGAAAATTGTACTTAGGCCAGTATGAAACTCTGTATTACAGGTAATTGTGCTTAAATGCAAATAAGAATGAACACAAGTATTTTATATTTTAATATAAAATATACAAATAAAATATATGCTTTCACATTTACTGTACAACTTCTGTTTTCTGTTTAGAAATTGTATTCAAGATCCCTTTCTCTTCTTGTTTCATGAAGATGAAGCTTTCATAAATTACTGTACATTTCATCAGTTTAAGGGAACATATAATGATAATGATTGCACAAAGCAAGATGAGAGGCTCTGCAGCTGGTTTCTCCACTGTTGCAGGGCATAGAAGACCAATGGTAGATATTGTTAAAGGATGATTGGTCAGAGTCCAAAAGAAACAAATGTCAAACAAATATGGAGGTGATCAAGTGTTTCATTAAGATATTAGGTAGTTGCTTAGGCTTCTTATAACTTATTAGAGACCAAAATTAATCTCAGTGTTTCAAAAAGTAACATTTAAAACTCACCTGAAAGAAAGCTGTCATTCCATATCTTAAGATACAGCATGTTTCCAGTTGCTTTTCTACATTGTTTCATTGAATGAGTGTTTTAATGAAGGTCCTGTGGTTCCGTCCTGTTCAGCTGCAGGCAGGTGAGACTCTGAGAAACACCAGTCACAGCAGCACGGCTGCAGACCTGCTCCAGGCCAAGCAGCAGATCCTCATGTACCAGCAGCAGACTGAAGAGAAAGACCTCCAGCTCAAAGGTTGTCAGAGGAAGAACGATGAGCAGCAGATGCAGATCAGCCAGCTGCAGGAAAGAGTCAAAGAGACAGAGATGGTAAATGTGGATTTATTGCACATGTCAGTATGCACGTTGACAGGTCTGCGCATGTTTTCTAAAGCTTTAGCTGCAAAGAAAAGTTTTGGTCCTGGAAGTCGTTGTAAAAGTTGTAACAATGCGGATAGGAGCAGTGAACACAGCAATGGTCATGGAAGTAAAAATAATGTTTTTCACCCCTGTGACCTTTTTATATACAAACCTTTGCTTGACTTTCCAGCAATACCGTTTTTGAAGGTTTACTTGAAAGTGATCAGAAGGGGTCTGGCATGCATTTTTATTTTAATTTTAAGTTTGCATCTTTACATAATTTTGCAAGATATCCTGTAAGTGTAGGGTGTGCATGTGTGTTGTCACATCAGTTTAAGCATGAATTATATTGTTGATTCACTAACATAAATAATGCACTGTTATCAGATTTCAAAGCATGACATTGCAATGTGAAATTTACATTTTATCTGCATTAGTAATTTTGAAGTATGCGTATGTATGAAGGGTTTTAAATTGTTAGCATCTGCATGTCTCTTAATATTGATTTGTTATTGCAGTTATCAAGTAAACAAGATGAATCCTTTACACAGAGATTACGTGAGCAAGAGAAGTTAATTGCAGGACAACAGAAACAAATAACAGAGCATGAAGTTACTGTGACACGATTAAAGGAAGAGCTGTCGATCTCAGAGAAGTCGCTGCAGGATTTAATGAAGCAGCTTGTGGAGAAACAACAAGAACTAGAAACCTTTCAAAATGAGCTTACTAGTTCCAAACAGAGAGAGAAGATGTCATCCGATGAAATAAAACAGCTGATGGGGACTGTGGAAGAATTACAGAAACGTAACCACAGAGGAAACCAGGCGGAAAGTGAAATTGTACAAAGGATGAAGGGGGACATGGAGAGAAAGATGGATCAACTTCAAGCAGAAATGGATGAGATGTATGGACAGCAGATTGTTCAGATGAAGCAAGAGCTTCGTAAGCAGCACTTGGAGGAAATCAACAGACTAACTGCGCAGCACAGATCAGAGCTGAAGGTGTTGAGCCTTCAGTCCTCTGAAAATGGTGCTGATGTAGAGCAGATAAACCTGTTGAATATGAAAATCATTGAGCTGCAACAAAAGCTGAAAGAGGCACAGATGCAGAAAGATAAGGTACATCAGGAGCTGACACAAGTAGCAGAGGAAAAATTAAATTTGCAAAGTCAGGTAGAAGATCTCTTGCAGGACCTAAGATTTGTACGGGGTAAAGTTCAAAGAGCTTCCCAGAGCATATCTGATCAGGAGCACAAACTGAGTGAAGTGGGACAGTTGCACGCTACTATTAGTGACTTGCAGACCCAACTCACTGCTGCAGCAGAAGCCACAAAGGAGTTGGAGACGAAGCATGAATCAGAAATTACGAATTACAAGATAAAGCTTGAAATGTTAGAACGTGAAAAGGATGCAGTTCTGGACAGAATGGCGGAGTCACAGGAAGCTGAGCTAGACAGGTTGAGGACTCAGCTATTGTTCAGTCATGAAGAGGAGCTCACCAAGCTGAGAGAAGACTTACAGCGAGAGAGCCAGGTGAATATTGAAAGCCTCAAAGATGAAATGTCTTTAAAACATAAGCAGGTTCTGGAAAGCATGCGGATGAGCTTTGAGGAGCAGCTCCATGTGGTAAAACTCGAAAAGGAGAAGTTAGCAGCTGACAGAGAAGCGCTGTTAAGTGAAATCTCACAAATGAAAGATGATTTGAATCACTCATTGGAAGACCCTATGTCCAAAGGTATGGCTCTGAAATTGGAAGAGCTTCAAACAGAGATTTGTGAATTGAGAAAAGAAGAGAAGGAAAAGTATTCTCTGGAAAGAGAAATACACGAGTTGTCGAAAAAGAATGAGCTGTTGGAGAAGGAGACCAAAGAGAGGGAAGTCACCTTAGGACAAAAAATAAAAAAGCTGGAATCTGAGAAGAATTATCTTGAGGAAACCAATGAGGCTATGAGACAAAAAATGAAATCCGTAGATTTGGATTTTGATATTAAAGACAATTCATCTGCACTGTCCAGTGATATTGCAGTTTTACCCTCTAGGATGCATCAGCAAATAGAGTCGCTTACTCTGGAAAACAAAAAATTAAGCAAACAGATAACTGAACTAAAGGAAAACCTTGAAAGGCAGACAAATACATTTTCTTTTGCAGAGAGAAATTTCGAAGTAAATTATCAGGAGCTAAAAGATGAATACACTTGCCTTGTGAAAGTAAAAGCAGAACTAGAGGAGAGACTCCTCAAGGAAGCAGGTGAACATGAGACTGAGCTAAACCATCTACGGTCACAGGTTCAGCTGTTGCAGGCCGGCAAAGAGCAGCTGGGTGGAACGGTAGAGGTCAGTCAAGTAAGAAACACCGAGGACTTTATTGATGGTGGGGAAGTTGTTGAAAAGGACACTACAGAGCTCATGGAGAAACTGGAAATTGCTCAGCGGGAAAAAAAGGAGCTCTCCTTGAGACTTTCTGAAGCTTCAGAGCAATTAAATTTAAAACAGAATGAAATCGAACAGCTGAAGGATGAACTCATGTCGGTAACGGATATAAACAAGCAGATCCTTGCAAGCTATGAAGATTTGAGGAGAGGGCAAGGGGCACAAGGAAAGACTGCGGGTCAGCGACAGGAACAACAGACGTGGGAAATTGTTCAGACAACTGCAGTCACAACTGATCAGGCCACTGGGAGGGAGTTGTGCACACATGCCAATCATCTTCACCAAATAGAAGCATTCGAGAAGAAGGTGATAGCATTACAGTCCTCTCTGCAGACTACAGTGCTCGAGCGTGACCATATTCAGGAACAGCAGAGTGCCCTTGCGCATGAGAATGAGACGCTCTCAGCCGAGCTCCAGGAGCTGAGGGGTAAACCTGTTGCTGAGACCCCCGTGGCTGCTGCTCTCCGGGCAGACAGGGACCAACTGCAGCAGCAGCTGGACGCGTTAAGGGCTAAGCAGCTGGGCTTGGCCGAGCTGGTGCAGCAGAAAGCCCTGCAGGAAGAATCCCTGCACAAGAAACTCGAGGAGAAAGAAAGGGCACTGACTGCTGCAGAGCAAGAGATAGTCGCTTTGAATGAGAGGCTGAGGACACGGCAGCTCTCAGGCGGTGAAGGAGAGACGTGCCCGGGAAAGCGCGATGAAGAGAAAGTGGCAGGGAGCACCTTAAAACAGGTAAGCGATCTGGCCTGTGTATTTCATGGTGGTAGAAAGATAAACAATCTCGGAAAGAAGCCTGCGGAACACCCTCACAAGAAATTCACTTTAAATACTGTTAAAGATGCAGTTCGGATTACATTCAGTATTTTTTTCCTCAAAGTGCAATACAAAAATGTATTGTTTGCTGTATGTTTTTCCTCATGTTACTGTATAATTGAATCTTTGAGGAATGAACGTATGTTTTTGATAAATAAAAATGAAGAATAATGTCATGGACTTATTGATACAGGGTTTTATAGATATTTTATTGCATATAAAAAACTATTATAAGCATAGAATGCCTGTTTCTGTATTGCTGGTAGGCATACATTTGATTGTGAAGGGTAGTTTAATGAACAAGTTGCTGTTTGGTTATTTTTGCAAATGCGTCTTTGTTTATTTTGACACATCTGCCTGTAAGTACAATCTGAAGGCTGTTCGCTGCAGTCTGAATGGTTTCTGCTGTCAGCAATTGACAGAATTTTAATTACAAATTGCCTGGAAACTCAGAGCCTTTGGTGTGGAGACGATACATTGAAGTGTTTGACCTTCACTTAAGCACCCTAAGCAAAAAACTGGATTCAGAAATTGATAATAGCTGTCAGCTTGTGATGGCATTGTGTCCTGAAGGTAATCTTCACTACTGCATTAGTGTGTGCCTCAGGGAATAGGATATGTTGTTCTAGGGAGTTTGATTTCATTTACTTTCATATACAGAATACGATTTCTCTATTTTGTGAGGATTTTGTTATACAAGTTCTACAAGTAACTTGTTGTTTATCATAAAACCTGAATAGGAATTTTAATTTTCCTATTTTTTCTTTTGAAATTATTAACAAGTACTGCAAAGCGGCAAATGCCTCTCACTATAGTTTCATCATTCATTATTTGAGGAATGTTTCATTAGAAAATGTTCTAATTATTGCTTATTGTTACGAACTATTTTAATGGTTACAGACCCCCTCCTATACGTGATGATACATCTTAATGTAATGAATATGGAATTAATAGATAATGTAGCTGTAGATGCACTGTGGTGCTGCCATATTAACTGAACGTGGGGTTGAAGTGTTGAATTAAAGCGAACAACAAAGTTTGGGAAGAATTGCAAAGTACTCGGAAATGAGAGCTGTCGATTGATGTCTTATTCCACTGGTATTTGCTCCTGTATCAGGAGGTCTGCGGTGTCGTCTTGTTGTCATCCCCCCCTGGATTCTCAATGACATGAATTAAGCGACTTAATTGTCCTTTTATTTGGTCTTTATTACCACTTTTTCCAGATTGTTACTTATTGAGGACTTTTGTTATTCCAGGACATTAGTGAATATCAGTGTCTTAATCTAAATTTTAGAAGGGTGGTTCTTGTGTTTCTTCTTTGTTGAAGACATTTTACCTCTTTAACAATGACTTGCATGGAAAATCCCAGTCACTTCTGTTCTGTAGCGTGCAATGATTAATTTCAGAATATTTTGTCAACTGCCTGCTTATGTTAGCTTGCATAGCTGGCATTTGGCACCAAAATAGGCATCTTCTTGGCATCTTGGTAGATTATGCCATATAGATCATGTAGTCATTCAAAATAAAATAACATTATAATTGAATTATTACAATAACATTGTGTAACTGCTGCATTTACATACAATAGAACACTTGTGTATTTAGCAGCTTCATTAGAACATACCAGTGCCATACTAACTTTACTTGATTACTAATTATGTTTAACATGTTTCAGTTACTATCTCAGTAAACGAGAACACTTACAAGAGGAATTCAGTCATGTTCTTTTGAATTCAATCATGTTCATGTAGCTTTTGAAGGCAATAATGGTGGACTACACTTTTTTGTAGGACGAAAAGTATCTGGTAGATCATGAGGTCCATACTCGAGATGAACAGATAACGCACCGCACAGCAGATCAGGCTGAAATGGACCAGAAGCAGGTGCTGTTGAATGTAAGTCTCCAGTTGCGACACATTTGTCACTCTAAAATGGAGTTCTGCACAGCCTTCTTTAAACGAGAAGCTTGGAATACTATTGACTGGGAAATAGATCATCAGTGTGAAATTCATTTGAGATTGTTATTTTACTGTCACAAGTAAATATTAACTTTTACGTAATACCTCTTTTGTTTTTACATTATTTTAATTTTATTGATATCTTTGGAGGCTGTGAATCTGTGAATCTTTAAGGATGTTTAGTTTTTATGTAATGTGTAACTTCATATATTTGCTGCTTTTTAGGAAATCACCCATTTTACATCTGTTGCTGGAGGTGTTGACATTTGTTGGCCTAAATTAGATGTAAAATGATTTATATTTGTTATTGAGCGATGATATGAAGTGATGTTCTGTAAGATTAATATGCATGCACATGTCCGTCCAGCCCCAGTGTAAGTTTCTAAAGCATGGCCTAAGCCTAATTGACAAATCACAGGTATTTTATTATAATAGATGTACAGTAAGATTATGGCAGGTTCCGTTTCATAACTGGCTTTTTTGCCCATTGTCAAGTGAGGCAACCTGATTCTGAGCACGGCAGGGTTAGCTAGCTTGCTGTTTTCGTTGCCTTGATGTGAAAATGAAGACCGGGAGCACCAAGGGAGAGTCTGTCACCACTCCCCACAGGACGAGCTCAGGCTGCAGATGGAGGCCCAGCGCATCAGTCTCTCCCAGATCTGTGCAGCACAGCTGGAGCTCCTGAGAGAGAGCCTGCTAGCTGAGAAGGAGGCCTGCCTGCACAGCCTTGAAGAGAGCCTCGTGGGCAGGCACGCGCAGGAGGTACAGCAGCTCCATGAAAAGCACCAGCAGGAGCTGCAGCACTTGAAAGAACAAAAAGCAGGTGAGAGGAGCGCTGGTCTGAAGCAGATTCTGTGCAGGAAAAAGAACATCACAGCTGCTGGCTTCCCTTTGATCCATCATTCATACCGCTGTTACCTGGCCAGTGTGTCCTGCTTAGTTTTTTCAACATGGAGCACATAACCCATTCTGGGTTGGCAAACTCTCCACAGCTTGTTTTTATTTGTGAACAGAATAAAAAGACCCATTGAGTTCACTTTTTATTTTTCTGTTTTGTCAGGTCTACTGTAGAAGTACAACTCCAGTCCATCTGGTAGCACCAGGTTACGGTGCATAATGTGCAAAACATGTTCGTAGTTGGTTTTGCTACTTCACTTATGTGTACTATCTATTCTCCCTTTTGCCAATGAACTTTATTTCATTTGTACACCTCTTTAAATCCAATTTGTGATGTCTGCTCAGGAGTCATTATAATGAGGGCAAGTAATAGCCTTAGGGAACAACAGTCTGGACTGTCATGGGGCAAACAGGATAAGTAGGAAGAAACAAAATACTGTACTAGGGAGGTGCAGCTATGTACAGTAAACTAGTCTTCCAGTCCTCTTACAGTAACAGTTTCTGGGAACTGTAGCACATATCCCAATCCAATTCATTATTAAACATTTATGTTTGATTAATTTGTCGTCTTTTCCCTACAGAGGCAAATGCTTTCTTATTAAAAACCTTGAAGTCGTTGATTATGGATATGAGGGGTTTGCATGGATACAGCCTAGTTGTGGCATAGATTTGTAAGCCCATTTGTAAGATGAATGTGGGGTTATGAAGGTTTCAGTCCAAAAAAAAAACTCTGAGTAGATGTGTTGAGTGGTGCAGTAATCTGAGTTTTAGAAGGTGGTCCTTTTCTCTCATCTCTGGCCAGGACTTTGATACATTTTAGAGATGGAATGCAGACAAAATTTCAATCGTGACCAAAATATGACCATGTCTTGTAGAAGTTACTGATTTTACAATATTGTGATTTTTTTAGATTATGAAGCTGAGTCAAGATCTTCGAAGCACCAGAGGTTTATCAGCATGGTATCCGAAGAATGCACGCAACTGATTCTGGTAAAATATTTGTTACAATATGTTGGTTTCGATTTGCCAGTTTTGATTGGTGACTTATCAGCTTTATAAAGAAAGGTTTATGCAGGTTATTCTTTGGAGCACTGCAGTTTAGTATTCGAGTTTTTCAGTGTTATAGCAATTTTAAATACTGTAAAATCATGAGTAATTGTTTTTTCGTAAGATTAAATTCTGAACACTCCAGTAGCTATGAACGCTGTTCACTTTTGAACTGTGTAGTAGCTCCTGTCAATCAGCTGTTATTGCACTGTGAAATCGAAACCATGAAACTCATCACACCAACTGTCCATCTACTATATATTGAATAATTATTTGAAATGGGCTTTTAGTCGTTGTCCAAAGTTCTGGGAGAAGACTACTTAGTGCCACTTCAGTTCAAAGAAACTGCAGAGCCGAAGAGTGCAGAGAAACCTGGTGAAAGGAAAACCGAAGATCCTGGTTCATTACTTCAAGAAGCAAAAGGTATGTTTTACTCTAGCATATTAATTTAGTCATTGTTAGTGACTGGTGACATTACTTTGAAAACAGAAGAAAGGCCATTCATGGAACAGATGGGTTCAAACATCTCCAAACTTTGTTTTTTTACTTTAATTTTAGAATTGTATACAAGTCTACATATGCTCAAGGACAGGATTTTGCAGGAATGTAATCGCCTGACAGAACTTCAGTCCTTACTGACATCTGACTGCAACAAGGTATGGTGGATTTCTTCCTTACTGGCTGCAGTTGAATTTGTGATCAAATACTGAGGTTTGCCCATTTCAAAATAAGATTTTGCATTAACTGCAGCATTGTGCCAATCACGGTTTGGTCCAACAAAACTGATGCAGCTCGAGCTGTTGCAGAACATTGTGCTAAATTGTGTTTTGGATATACAGTATATAATCGATTCATTAATGGAAAATAAGATACTTCAAACATTTTCCCCATCCTAATCTAACTTGTCATTTTGTTTTCAGCTGGAAGAGCTTCAGACAGCATATGATGAGCTCAGACATCAGAGCGAAAAGGAAATTGCCAGCCTTCGAATGCAAATTGATAGCTCTCGTGCCAGCTCTCAGGATCTGAATGGTAATTTGTACATAAGAATTATTATTTTTTTAATTGATAGACTTTCCTTTTAGCCTGCCAGCGCTGATCTGATTAATGGTTAAATGGTGCATTGATGTTAAACAATATGGAAAGATTCAATTAGTCATTATTCCACATGAAAATATATTATAATGTTTGAAGCCTTGTAAAAACATTTCTGTTCTTTTCTGAGTAAACCAATACACTGCAGAATTGCTCCTGCATGGTTATGGTATGTGACACATCTGTAATCATTGTATACTGTAGTTGTTGCACATTTTCACAGTCATTATTTGTCAAATTGATTGTAAATCATATTATTTTTTGTTAAGATATATTTTAGATTCATGCTATTGTTTTTGTGGCTTTGATCATCAATTCAATGTCCAGGTAAAATCTCTTTAGAAGTAAGGTGTCTAATGAACTAAAGAACAGCCGTTTGGTCGTACTGTAATTGAACAGAGCATCCAGCTCTTTCTTGAAAAAATCCAAGTAATTCGTTTCAGCAACATGGCTAGGAACTCGTTCCTTACTTCCACAAACATATAAAAAAGTGCCTCCTGTAATTGTGAAGGTACATTTAAAACCATAGTTCCACTGCTGCTGGTTTTCACTGTCGGTCCTGAAGAAGTCCACTGGGTTGATTTTGTCTGTGCCTTTGAGAATTTGGGCAGGAATACAGTCAACTCAGTGGACTTATTCAGGATCAACAGTCAAACACGCACCGTAGGACACAAGTGGGAAAACTCCATTGGATGAAGTTTAGGGGTAGAAGATTTAAATGTATCCACTTGTGTGAGAAATGTTATTCCTTCAATCGCTTAGATCTCAAGGAGCAGCTAAAGGTGAGGTCGGCCCATCTTGAGGAGGTCGAGAAGCTGAAAACAGAGTTTCATCAGCGGCAAGCCCAGCTGGAGGAGCAGCACCTCCAGGAGATCGAGCGTCTCCGGGTTTATTATCAGCAGCAGGCCAGGGACTTGGAGGACAGATACACCACAGAGCTCGTCCTTCTCCAGCAGAGGCTGCAGGAGGCGCAGTGCAGGTAAGGAAATGCTCAAATGTGCAGCTGGCTTCGCAGTTCTACAAAGCAGACATTTTTCTCTTTTAAAGTAACCACAAATTATTGGCATGCCAATTCACATTTTTCACAGTTTCTTCAAGCAGTTATCTTGAGGATTATTTGGTGTTGAACATTGGTTTCTAAATCATATACCATTTATCTAAAAATATATATTTTTTAATTGATTTGTACAGCCTAGTGTGATATTTAGCTTGGGTTTTACGACTTATATTCCATTCTTTACTATTATCAAATGTTTTTTAAAGGTTCTGAATTTTTTAAGGGCAGACATCAGTATTAATGGGTACTGTAGAATGGGTAAAAATTTTTTTACAAAAGTTCTGGTTCACATGAATTTGAAGACTTTAGGTAAGAAAGTGATATTTTGTTACTTCCCACTGGTATTTAAAGATTTATGAAGACCGTGGTCATGTTCTTTGTGCTTTGTCTCAAGCAGGAGAGAGCATGAGTGCATATCAGGGTAGAGTGATCTGATACCAAGACACAGGGAAATTCTATATTGTCAACTATTCATCTAGGGTAATGGGAATACCCTTAGCAGACTCATTAGTAATTTTGAAGTACAGTTTAATTATGTGCTGTCCTGCCTGCTTCCAGAGGTCTCTGCACTTATCCATGTAGTTTAATTTTATTACATTTAATCTCTTCTTTACAGGCAATTTAGAGCTATATATACAGTAGTAGTCACACAGTTACCTTTAGTAGCTTATGGTTTTTGAAGACCATTTGCTCATTCTGCAGACCAATTTCACAGAGACTCCAATTAGTATGAGTATTTGAAAATATATATTTTAATTGTGAGGAATAGAGTGGTCTGTTTGTACACATCTGCAGAATGCACAATGACAGGCTGACAAAGGCAGCAGTGTTTGGAATCATGGCAGGAAATAACAAAATGGATGCTCATCAAGAGAGTGTCTGTCTGATATAGAAGAATCTACATAGCCTTAGATAACTGGCACTAGACACAGCAACATGGGAAAGAATGTTGAAGCAAGCAATCAGCCCCAAGGGGCAGTGCTGCCAAAGAGACTGATGATGATGATGGTGATGGTAACCTTTATAGAGCAAGCATTTACTGTGGATTATAGGAATTCATATGAATTTGCTCTTCCTGTAGTGTTTTTAAGAGCATACAGTCACTATGAAAGTACTGTAAACCTGAAGGATTCTTGTGGAGTATACACAAATATAGTCAGTGCGCTGGTTAATGTCAGCTATGTCATGCTGTTGGACATTAATAAGGACAAAACAGCAGTCTGTGGCTACCAACTTTGACTTTATACAAGCAAAAGATGTTAATAAAGTTCTCTTTATATGGTTCCACCCTCCATGGTTTTTTGAAACAGCAAAAGCTAAATAGTTCTATTTGTAAGTAATCTTACACATAAATTTAGTATAAAATATATTTAAAAGCATGTGCATATATAGTGAACTAAATTCCACTAATATGGCAGTGTTTGCTTCCTCAGGATCAGGAAAACAAGGGAAACTTTTCACCCTTTTGGTATACGGTTGTAGTATTTAAAATCAACACTGCTAGGCAGTGTGCTTGGTACTTCATCAGTATAGGCAAATCATACACTGCGTTTGCGTATGTGCAACTCTACATTTGGTAGAATATCATTCCAGCTTGTATTTTGAAATTATTTCATGTTGGTTTGGTTTAGGAGTTAATTTGGGCATCTTTATCAAGTGATTGCTTGAAAAGTGGTCTGCCACTCAAAACGTCTGAGAAACCCCGTCATATCAGGAGACAGGGAAGTTCAAAATTGGCAGCTGGTGTTAAGGACTTTGCAGCAAAACCCGATTGATGTTGTGATGCCCTCTGCTGGCATTAAAGGAGATAGATTTTTTGCTCACCATCATAAAAGTAAATTTTAACATGTTTGAAAAGAAATATAAGAAATGTTTCTCTATGTTCAACAGTTTTCAAGTCTTGAAAGTGTTTAAAATGGTACAAATATGCAGTACAGAATGTTATGAACCTTGATGAAATAAAGAATAAGATGCTTGCTTTATTCTAGGTGCCATTGTTCCAAACACCAGCAGCATTGAATATGTCAAAGTTCACAAAATGTTTCTGTGTTTTGTGAGATGTCAGTGCAAAACAGTAAGCTTGACCTGGAGGTTTAAAATTGTCTTTCAGTATTTCAAGTGAAGCCCAGCTTTTTGAGCAAAAGGAAATGCAAAGCATTGAAGAACTAAAGGTATTTTTTGTTCCTTTTAAAATAATTTTGACTTCCTTGCATCATATAAGTGAACAGTATTTCTTGCTTACTTTAGAAGTCTGTAACTTAATGGTGTCTTTGAAACAAAATCCATATTTAAATTAAAAGATTCAGTGAGCCATTATGAATAGCTGGGATACTGCCTGGGGCACTTTCTTGTCTTATATCTTTACATGGGTGCACAATGTAAAAGAGGCTATGTTATGATGAATTTGTTGATGAAAAAACAAACTGAAATTCAGTAACCTGAACATGGCTGTAATTTCCCATCTGCATGAAAGAGCAATTTCTCTTGCATGGATGATTCAATCAATTTTAAAGACGCACTCTTAAAGCACAGCTCTCTTCTCCAACCACTGGTGTGTGATGAGCTACTCCATTTTGCATGCTGCTACTGTTCTGGGAGTTTGAGAGACAAAACATCAACTATTAGTGTGAATTGCTTGGTTGTTTTTTCTTCATGTGTACAATTTCAGTGTATTTTATTATTCTTGTAGGGATTGATTTTGTGACAGATTTACTGTATATAGGAGCTATTTAAATATAAAGTACAGCACTCTTTTTTTTAAAAAATAGTGAGAACAATGAAATATATATCTATAATTTTCAGCTGGATGATATTGAATTGGAAGTGGCCCTAAACTATCCACTAAAGTCTGTTGGACTGACCCATCAGCTGCAGACCTTGAGAAAAGCCCTGTACGCCAAATATGTCCAGGAGGTCTCTGCTCTGAAGGAGCAGCACAGGGGGGAGCTGGAACTGCTGGCGCTGAGACTGAGCAAACAGCAAGCTCTCCAAGAGGAAGTCTCAGACTCAGGCCCAGAGAGCTTAAAAGGAGGAGTCCGGTCCATTGAAGGCCCTGACACTGAAGAAGACCTCATCAGAAATATTCAGGAACTGGAGAAACGGCACAAAGAAAGGACAGAGGAGGAAGTAGCAAAGGTATCATTTATTTTATCTGCTGTATTAGCATATACTGTATGAAAAAGCTCTGTGCTTGGCCATTGCCTGGCTAGCCCTGGGAGACTTTGAGGTCTTTGGAGATATACTGGACTAGGGAGCTGAATTTCCGTTTTTAATAATAATTAAAATTTAAATATCTCAATTATCTAAAGAGCTCTTGGAATGTTTAAAATTAATTTATAATTGTGAAACTTAAGATGTTTATTTTACTCATGGTCATTCTCTATGAACGCGGTTACTTTTTCCATAAGCAAAAGCAAATAGTACATGGACTATTGATTTACTGGACTTATTGATCGGGTGTCTTACATGTCTGTTTTCTGTGCGTGCAGGTGATCGTGCAGATGTCGGTTGAATTTGCTCAGCAGACCGAGCTGGCAAGACTTAACAAGCAAGCAAGGGAGACGACGACCAAGATGCAGACGCTGGCTGGAGACCCGGATGGAGAAGGAGAGGCAGAAATGGACCCTTCCAGTGAGGAGCCTGGACTCGCTCTGGAGCAGAAGAATAAGGACTCGGAGAGGAGGCTTTTGGAAGAAAAAGCCGCACTGAGCAAACAACTGCAAGAAAAGACTGCTGAAATCCTGACGTTGACCAAGCAGCTGCAGCAGACTAGAGGCGCTCCACTGATGCTTGACAAAGAGGGCCAGTTCTCCGATACTGAGGGAGGATCCCCAAAACACCCAGAGGACACGGGTATTATACTGCCTCTTGAGTCTGTGATCACACAAGAACCTGTCCTTCCGGAAAGTAAGGTAAGTGTTTAAGACTGCAATGTGCACCTTGATCTTTTACTTGCTTGTAAATAAGACTCTTTTCTAACAAACTGACAGGCAGACTGAGGTTGAAAGTTGGCCATGGCAAGATTTTTTCAGCATCCATCTTCATGACACTCTGTTTATGTTCTTCGGCTTGCTAGTAATGTTCTATGCAATACTGAAATATAAATGCGGAAATTTTAAACATAGCTTAACCTTAACCCATATAATTATACAGAGTGACTTTAGATGACCAAAGCCTTTTTTGGTGACATGGGAATTTTTGTCCCCTTTTTGCATGTCTTTGCGTCTCTGTTCCTAGAGACTGGAGCGATTAAATTACTGTCCTTGCAGTTGTGACTCTTAATTATTTGAAAAGGAATCACTGTGTGGAAGGTGTCCTCAGTGGTGTGTGTGCTGCAGGTGGCCACCGCTGGCCTGGCAGAAGATCAGTGCCAGAACCAGAAGCAGGAGCACCTGCAGGCGGCGCAGGCCCTGAGGGTGGCCCACACACAGCCGCTAGACAGGCAGCAGGAGGAACAGGTCTCCCGCAGAGCGGAGCTGGACAGCTGGGGAACACAGCTCGATCAGGTGCGTCTCCCCGCCAACCACGAGGCAACAGTAATCCTGCAGACCTCCTCAGTGCAAAGAGTCTGTAGTTCAGGCAAGAAACCCTACCATGTGGCAGACAGTGCCCTAACAAACCTGTAAATGTATTGTTTTTTATGAACTGTCTAGTTTGGATCCAAGTCTTTATTTTCTAAGTAGCCGATAAGTAACATACAATGACAACGAATCACGTATTTTGGTGATGATTTCTAATGTCAGCCTTAACAAGAGAAATGTATTCTTCATAAAAGTTATACAGGCTGTCCCAGTTTTGAAAATATTTGTTGGTCACATTTGGCCTGATGTTTTTGCATTTCAATATTTTCATTTTTACATTTTAGATTATATTTATGGAACCATACAGGAGTTGCAAATCATATCTACTGCAAAAGTTTTTTTTTTTTAATTAATTGCCCTCATTTTTTTTAAAAGGTATATATTTTATTGCAGCTTCACAATACTTTAAACATACATCCTACAGATTTGCAAAGGTAGAATTATTTTACATTCAGACCCATTTTCAGAAAAAGTATATGCACAACTCTTCCATTCAATTCAATTACGAAGAATTGAACTCTTATTTAGGCAAAGGCAAGAAGAGAGGGCCCAGAGACTGTAAGACAGGAGGGGTACGGCCCTGCACTGCAAAGCAGAAGCACACAGACTGAGCAGGTAACATGATACTCTTTGCACAGATCTCCAAAAAAGATGCAGGAGTTTGTGAATTTCTGCACTTAGTGCCATCAGATTAGGGAAGCAAGCCTGCTCTAAATATGATTGCCAGTCTTGAAGGATCTTGTCGTGCACTTCTGCATACCAGCTGATAGGTGGAGCGTGTGTCCTCTGTAGTGCTTTACAGGTGCAACTGTTGCTATGACGGCAAGCAGACGGGAATGTTTCTGCTTTCCAGCCTTGCAGAGACACTGAGATATTAATCTCTGTTGATGCCACCTGTCTGCACCAGGTTTTACCGAAGAAGCACGTTCTTGCTGTCCTCTTAACTTAAGTAAATGTAACTGTTTCAATTCTAGTTTGCCAGGGAGGAAAGGTTCTAGAAAGCAAGTGAGGATAGCATGACGGGTTTGTTGTCCTTTTTGTCTTTTCTGCCTCTCCGGTCGTTGTCGCAGAATGAGGAAGAAAACAAGCAGGGAGATGAGGAAAAGAAAACTGATCCCGAAACTTCAGCAGAAGGTCCAGGAAAGACAGAGCACCCTGCTCCTGATGGAGACACAACTGAAAGGTTTGAATAGTTTCTTGATGGAAGTTCACAAAACAGCTTGGACTTTTGATTTCTCATTAATTTTGAAAATAATGTAGGGAACTACCTTTTCTCAGAAACTTGGGGCATCTGCAGTAGAGTAGTTTTTATAGATAGCTTAAAACTGTGTCTGACATTTGCAACATAGTGGTTAATACTAACCTTATTATAATACTGGCTTATTATAAGACCGATGTGCAATATTTAAAATAAAGTGTCAGATGTTTGTAAATAACCTTTTCTTTTTTTTTTTGTTTTTCTAATGAATTTCTTAAAACTAAAATAAAGTGTATTTTTTTCAATTTTATGTTTAGAAAATAAGTTAGTAATTTTACTTTTTTCTGCTGGTCCAGAATGCATTATCACAGTGAAACCAGACAAATATTTTGTTTAATGTTACACGGCTCCATTGTCATCAGAAGCCCTTTAGTAATTTTAATGATTTGCAGAGATAAGCAGGTAGTGATAATTATTCAAATATGCCGGGGAACTGTCTGATATGGTCTGATACCAGGGGACTTCTGACATGTTCTTTTATACCCAGCATATATGCTGCATGTATTATACAGAACCTTAGGAAGAAAACTTTTGAAAGTTGATCCAAAGGTCTCTGTATCATGGTTCCCGATGGTGTCTTCATGGTTGAGGATAGAAGTTGCTGTATTTCTGCTTGTAAGGGGTGACGCTCTCCTTCTGCTTCACCGTGTTTGTCCTGTGGCAGTGTAGCTTTCCAAAATGTGTCCCGTGGAATTCCCGAGAAAGGATGTAACTCATGTTTGTAGCATTCCGGACAGTAGACTGAGAAGGTGTGCTGCCCACGGATACCATTAGCATGTGTCTGGAGTTGTCTTTGGCTGCATCAGAACAACCGCAGCGTGGTGCAGGAATGTGTGGTTTTCTCTCCTCCACGTCAGGAATGTCTTAAGAAGGGCCAATGAGCGTCTGCGGCAGGTTCTGCGCGACGTGCTGAAGACCACCGCCGCGGCCGAGGAGACGATTGGGCGCCACGTTGAGGGACTGCTGGACGCGTCCGGTAGAGGACAGCCTCAGCTCAGATCAGCTGCTGGGCCTGGGGGAGGTGTGTATCGCTCTCTCCCTCGCGGACACGCTGACGGCTGCAGTCACCAATATTTTGCAGGACAGGCTCTTTGGGGGGGAAAAAAGATTTCAGGGGTCTGTAGTCAAAGGTTGTTTTTTTCATAATGGTTATTTCTCCCATAATGAATATGCCTAATAATTAAGTGTCCTTTGTTTATCTGGGCCTTCTTTTTAACATTTTTTACTAGGGAAAACAGTACTAGAAACTTGGGCTAAAATGTTTTAGAAGATAAGAAGTTCCTGTCTTTACTACAATGATAGACCTCCATTCTGTTTACTACTGTAGAACTCGATACTATTGCACTGTGCCCATAAAGACAAGTTGACTCCCCATGCATCAGTTCCTATTATGCTAAGTTCCACAGTGTGCCAATCCTTTACACAACTCCTTCAGTTCTTCAAACAAATCAGTTTATCCTCTCAAGGAAAGCAGCTTAGTTGCCTAATAAGAGATGTATTTTTCTCAATCCATATGGCTAGTTATCACAGCAGTGTAAGGATCATCCCAGCATATCCAGAGTAAAGACTGTGGTATAGGATTCCTGTTATGTGGCATTTAAACTAGATTTCCTTTCAGTAAGTCATGAAATTACACTCCCAAACCATTCCCCAGACAGCTAGCAGTCAACATTGTAATTGGACTAATATAATGAATGAGTAATGTCAGAAAAGAGTACTTCTTAGTTTGAAACATCTAAGGCAATGAATCTGTAACAAACATGAGAGGATCCAGGACAGCAATGTCATTTTTGTACTATGGTGAACAAAAGTGTACACATTATTTTAAATGTGATGTTAATAGTGCATTGAACAATTAGATAACATACCTTGGTTTAATTCTACACTTTTATTTCCATTTTCATTTTGCTACTTTCCAACACATTTTCCAGCAGTTTAAAATGATGCAACAATATCAACACCAAAACCTTGTTCAATACTCCCTGTTTTATATCTATAATTTTTCCTTCTTCCATGTAACATTCTGTATATATCAAATGTGGTCTGCCATGTGTTTGTCCCTTTGCTCTAAATCTTTTTGAAATTCACAGTATTTGCCAATTACATTTTTTTGGTATTGATTGTAAACTTAGTTTCCTAACTAAACCATGCTCTGGATCATTAATGGAAATAAGGAAGAGCACTGGATTTACTACAGGTCCCTGTGGTGCTCCTGTAATTACAGTATATCACCCCAATTTCAGCATGCACCCCGTGTCTGTATTCTGTCCTGTATTCTAGTAATCAGTTATCAATCCAGATATACACATTACCATAAATGCCTGAAATGTGCCAATTTCTTTTATTGGGAACTTGAGCAAAAGCCTACTAAAAATTTAAATGCATTTTGACATATGCCCTGTTTGTATCCATCGCTGCTGTTTCTTTGAACAAGCACTGTAACAAGTTGGTTAAGCAAAACCTATACATTCTAATCCTTTCAAACTTGACTGCCATAGAGATGATTCTCTGCCATTGACTTGCATGTAATAGAAGAAAAGGCCTGTTGATCTATTATTACTTGGGTCAGTAATACCAACTTTTTTACTTATTTGTACTACATTTGCTTTTTTGAAGTTAAAAGATAGTATTACCCCTGTCTAAATAGGCTGCTAGAATAGTTTTGGTAATGTTTTAAGTATGCGTTCTGTGAATTTTCCTTGTAGAATTCATTTGAATTCTAGCATAAATGTTTTTACATTTTCTGTGACTTCCTTGGCTAAGACAACATGTCAACCTCATTTAGATGTAATACCATTGGGTGCATTTTTAAAACCTCTCCGTACAGCTAAAATGTCTTTGCCATTGCCTGTCTTTCTCAGGCAGGGCGGAAGACCCTGGAATTTTAATAGGCAGTAAAGTAATTTGAGTTAGGTGGATGGTTTATTATGCTCTGTAAATTGTGCAAATGTGGCAATTGTGTTTGAAGTGGCTTACTGTGCATGGTTGAGCTTGTTTTATGTGCATAACATTAGTATGCTTTGCTCTCAGAATTTGGAATAGCAGTTGAAATGTCTTTTGCAACTAATCATTTCGTATGCTAGTGAAAGGTTTCTGTGAGAGCACAGGTCTGCATGCAACCATTAGTTATACTCGGGAGGCAGCATCCTGTCACAGCTGAGTGAAAGTGAGAAGCCCTCTGGTGTATAGAGTGTTTCAGAATACCACATGAACTGGAAACAGCAGGAATCATTACAAAATGTTATATGATTCCTAGGTTTTTTTATATCATTTATTTTTGAAGACCAACGTCGGTTTGATTATCTTCCTTGTTTTTCCTTTGCCTCAGATATCGGGTTTGGAGAACTGCGGTAAACATTACCTTTGTGCGCAATGCTGGCGTGTTGGGGATTAGAAGAATACATTTGTTTTTATTCACCCCCTTTGTCAAATTCTCCCCTTCAAAACATGCATCTAAGTATGATGAAATCTGCTTTTGTAGTCAGCATAGTACTCCTAATCGTTTCCACATTCACAGAAGTCATAGAGTCCTGTCTTTAGTCCCGCTGATGTGATTTGTCCAGTCTGAATGCCCACTCTTGCTCTTGCTTTGTTTCAAGATGCTTCCTCAGAGTCCTGTTATGGCAGTGAAGCAGGCAGGGGTGATGGGAGTGTGTGGTCAGGGGAGACTGAAGAGGGCCTGGAGATGTCTCAGCGGCTCACAGACGGCCTGTTTCAAGGAGCTGACCTCCAGCTGGAGAACGAGGAGTGCCTAATGAGCATCAGCTCGCGGCTCCAGGGAGCAGTGGAGAAACTGCTGGAGGCCATCACTGAAACAACAAATCAGGTACTACCAGCCTTAAGTTTCATTGAGGGAACAGAAAACTCAGAGACCTCCCAGGTCCTGGATATGTCAGTTTTCCTAGCAGGGTCTTGGAGCTTTTGTTGACATTTCCAGGAATAATTCTTTGTGTTTCTTAGCTAGAAGAGTTTCTTTGACCTATGTTTTATGCCATTTTTATGCCACGCTTTTGGGGCCTTTTATGTCTGGCTGTTGTTAATCTGAAAGGTTCACCACTCCAATCAAGCACTGACCTGGGAAAACAAAAGACACACATACAGTCATATATTTGGCCTATAAATCTACAAGGGACAACAAAGTTTAAGTGTCAGTGAACAGATATTAACCCCTAAGATGGTAAGGACGGTGACTGCCTATGCAGTCCTGCTGTTGCACTAGTTTTGCTACACAACAACGATAAATGACAGGGCCAGCCTGGATTCCATCCTGCTTTCTCAGTGTCTAATATAATAGTATGATGGTTGTTCTTGTACTTGTATTATACTTGAATATATTGTCCTTTTTTTTGCCTATATCCTTGAATTAGGCACGTTAACCTACATGGCTTCAAATATCAGGACCCCCACATAAGAACATAAGAAAGATTACAAATGAATAGACCCTTCGGCAAGTCTCAATCATATGGTTGCTTGTAGCGGTTACTAAAAGTTTTCTAGGAATCAGCTTCCATAACCTAACTGTTAGCAAATATTACCTGTTTGAAGCCCCCAATGCACTTGCTTCCTGGAGTGATAGTTTTGCAGGTATTCCTTGAATATGCCCTTGGCTTGACTTTGTCAATAACTTTCAGAATTTTGAATATATCCGTTTCAGAGTGGCTTGGCGAGGTTGTTCATTTTCATGTTTTGTGTCCTCAACAGTAGAAAGTAGTTTGGTCTTTTTAATTCTCCCCATGTCAGTACCACCCTAGAAACAGCTTTGCATTTGCATTGCACAAGAAGTTATTGAGAGCTCAGTAGTATTTTGCTCAACGTGCGATAAAATGGGCAGGTTAATATCCACCTCCTGCATTTATGCAGCCACTGTAAACCTTTCCTCGGGCCTAATAAAATATTGGAATGAAGGTGTACTCTGACCTCTGCTGCTGAAAAAGAATCAACAGTCTGCCTTAAATCAACAAAATGTACTGGAGTACTGTATTTAAATGTGGTTTTTGATGGATATTAATACCTGAATATCCTACACTTAATTGTACTGAGGGTGATGTGGTAGCTAACAGGGCTGCTTACTAAAGCTCTTGTTCTAGGCTTCTAGGTTTAATTCCAGCCTGGAGCTTTCTGTTTGACGTTTGCATGTTCTCTCAGTGCTCATTATGAGCAGCCCTCCGGGATGCATTAGCTGTTGTTAATGGATGGATCAGGGGTTAATCATGTTTTTCAGTAAAATGCAGCCCAGGAAAAATTAAAAAAATATTTGTCTGTTTCTAACCAGAAACGAATCTGAGTAGCACATTTCCCAGCTATATATATCTTTTTCAAGTATGTCCTAAAGGTAAGTGTCTCTGTTTTCTAACTCCATTGCGGCCTGTAGGACTTAAGATTGTTACTTTCCTATAAATCTCTTTTACACTACTTGATGTCATGCAGCAATGTCAAACTCCATGATTATTTCTACCTCCTGCAGTCCCAACTTTACTCAGATCTCCCTGTTCAGCAATAAAGATTTTGATCTTTGACATTTATGCTGTTAATTATTAATACACATCAGTATCCTTGCAACAGTACCAGTCATTTGAAGGCATTGCTGTGAGGGTCTTCAGATGTTTTTTTCAGAAACACAATACCTAATTGTATCCAGCAGTAGCTGTTGCAGTTCTTAAACTATATGTTGCCATTCAGTATTTAAATTACCATTAATGTTATATAACATTTCCTACAAGAAGCTTTGTGAATTGCATTACAGATTACAAAGAAACAGTTCATATCAATTTCCACCTCAGGTTTCATGTCCCTTGTTAGGTTGTGACTTTAAAGCTTTCAGTTTCAACAAGTGATAATTGGAGGTTAAGAATTGTGTTGAAAATAGTTATTGTATACAATTCTTCTTTAGGATTATTTAGGAATGTAAACTTGAATGATGCAGTGAAGTGTCACAAGACTGAGGAAACTCAAGTTTTTTGTAGACTTGGGGAATAAAAAGGACTAAGTCAGCCTTTAGAGTCTATTCCATAATCACCAAAGCATTAAAGAATGAACTGTAATGATAACAGAATGTCCCCTTGTGGCATTATGTGTGGTTTTATTCTTGTACATGAAAGTCAGAGAGGATTGTTTTACAGTAGAATTCAGAATTTTACTGCTATTTGCTCTTGTACACTTGTGTTTTGAAAAACAAATTCCCATATATTCAGCTCAGGACTTCAGTTTTGTTATTGTAACTTGGGTGAATAGAATTCTGCCTGAAGCCCTGACGCTCTGAAATACATAGTTTGCATCTTTCAGGGCTGAGTGTTTTAATACAGTCCACAGCCCAAGGTTTATTTTAAAAGATGAGTTTTGAATCTCTACATTTACACGAAGCACGAGCGGACCATTCTTGGAACATTAAAGAAAACGCAGCCCTGTCAGAACTGTTGACGTGGAAAATGAATCCAGTCAGACGAGCTTTTCTCAAAGGCTGATCTCCAGTTTGTGGCTCTACCTGCCTAATTACCTGAAGGCTGCAGGCCACACCTCCTCTTCTGTCTTCCCTGCAGCTCTAGATCCTGGACATGCTTGTGTTTCAGGAAGTGCTAGGCAGGCTTCCCCTCCCTTCACCAGAGAAATTCCATTCTGGGAAGAGCCCCGCACTTGTGCTGGCCCTGTGCTGCTCCTGTGCTCCCTCTCCGCTGTTTGTTGCGGGAAGTAACTGATGGCCTGCGAGCTTTCCCAGGCGCCCCGTTGCCTTGGGGGCGTGGATTTGCTAACAGGGATACGTTTCGACCCACAGAGGGAGTGAGAAGCCGTCGCAGGCTGAGCTTCGGCGAGGACAAGGAAAGCTGTTTGTGACCGGGTTTGGTCTTCGTCTGTCTGACACTTTTGAAACCGTTTGGAATGCACTTTAGCCACAGGTACTCTCTGCAAGGATTCTGAGAACTGCAGTTCTTTCTTCATGCAGGGATTTGTTTTGAACCCTGCAAGGCTCAGTGTTTGTTGACACCTTAATCTTCTTAATATTTACCTGGGACCCGGTGTGCATTGCGATTGCCCATGTGAGCTGCCTGTATTTGCCTAAGGTTCTTAGTGGCAGCTCCGTGGAGACAGTTGCTTAGCTCGGCAATGTTGCCCTTTCACGGAGCTTCAAATCCTGGGCACTTTTCATCCTTACCAAGTGCTTCCAGAAGTGGCACAGCTTCCAGGTGAAGTGCGACCCGGGAGGCAGCTTTGTCGTCCAGAATGGATTCTTATCGGACGTACTGGAAATCAAACTCTCTGGGGGCCCTGTGGGTCGAAGGTCAGGATGAAGACATCTATGAAGTCGAATCTCGAGTCCCGCTGCCGAGACCCTTTCCTCTCCCCTCCAGTTTAAATGAAAAAAACTCAGTTGTGGTGCAGACCCAAATTTCGCACATTAATCATAGGATAAATGGGCACCTCCTTCGAGTGGTCTCTAAAATATCTTTACCAACACCTCCTTACACAGTAAGTGCAAGTGCAAGAATGTTATATTTTCTCTATTACACAGAATTATTTGTTAAAGTGCTTTAGTATGTTATTCAGGTGCAAAACTGCTTTTGGAGGTTTGTATGTTTAGAGCAAAGTGAAATGGGTTTTTAAAAATTCTCTTTCTTTACCGTTATACTGCGCAGGTATTTTGGAACTTTTTGTTCTGGAAGTTATAGGCTCATTCGTGCTCGAAGTGAAAAAGGATATTCTCAGGAGAAGACACAGTCGCTGTATGTGATCTTTGATATTCTACCTTAAAGAACTTTATAGGCCACACATTCCTGCTGTATTCCAGGTTGTGTATAAACCAATATGGTATGAGGAATGCAAGGATTTTAAAGATTAAACTTTAACCACTTAAAGAAAATGTAAAAATGCATATATTGATTAAAAGGTCTAGATGCCCCGATCTTCTTTCTCGTCAAGTGCTGCATCCTATTCTGAAAACAATAAGAGGGTTTTGTTTAGCTGTCCCCAGACTGGGCACCAGTGCCTCCATAGTGACACAGTTTAATTATGTAGATGGAGCTTCAGGAATGTTACGCTCCAAGGGGCAGCAGGCGGAGATATTTGTAATGATTGTCGGATTTTCTGGTTTCATTGTCTTTCCCAGCTTGAACATGCCAAAGTGACCCAGACGGAGCTGATGCGGGAGTCATTCAGGCACAATGCTGAAATTAGTGAGCTGGTGAGGCAGCAGGAGGAGCTGCAGGAGAGACTCGACGAGGAGGCCAAAGCCAAGGAGCAGCTGGCGCTGGAGCTCCACAGGGCCGAAGGTGTGGTATGGCCAACAGGGCACGTAATACATTACTCCGTATCCTTTCTGACCGCCAGGAGCCTGGTATATCGTTACTGGCACTGTACTCCAGGTGGCGACTCTCCATGCGGGTTCTCTGAAAAACATACCAGTTTAGGGCTGGGCAGGATACAGAGCGCTTGCTACCTGCTTTGGGATGGGCAGGATCTGGTGTCACATGTGTCACATGGGAGAATGAATAATAGATCAGTGAAAGAAGCGAGCACGCTTCACGCTGCGCTGCGGGATATTGTAACTGCTGGAGCTGGTCACCATAGTGCGTGTGATGTCACAGCCCTCCCTGGGGAGAGCTTGTCCGCTTGTCTGTGAAAGGTGCACACACAGCACAGCACAGTACAGTACAGCACCTGTTCCACTCTGCTGGCACGGACTGCTGCTGTAAACTGGGGGAGGAGGGGGGGGGGGATCTTTACACTTCACACAGCTAGGTTAAGTCAACAAAGTCATGCTCAGCTGACTGAAAAGGGCATGATTACTTTTCATCTCCACCCACAAAATATCATCCCCTGAAACTCATTAAACAATGACTTTAATAGTTCCGTGCTTGAACAATTTGATCTCTCAGCTGTTTTATTTTTCAATCCACCTGCATAACTCAAGTCAAGAAACAAAAGGAGGACTGGAATTCAGAAATTGAAACGGAAATATTCATAATGAATATGGATTTGTCTTTGGTTACATGTTTTAGGTCAGTGAGATACTGTATTTGGGATTTTAAATTTGATCAATATATTTAGTTTCAGATTAAATACTGATATCTTTAGTTATAGTGTCCTGCTGTGTCAAAACACTAGTATTCTTGTGCTGTTCTGTGCCTAATCCTATGCTTTTTGTCTGTCCTGCTGTGGGTAATTGTGACAGGTGTGGTGTGGAAATACTGGTTGAACTGGGCTAATCATCTGTTTAAAGTTCATTCTTGACTGTGATCTGCCAGTTGTTAAGTGCTATTGTCACTATTCAGGTCAATGTATTGCAGAAGACTTTATTGTATTTTAAAAAGTAATTGCATTGACTGTTCTAAAAATCATCTGTTGTGTTTTTTGTGTTATGTATGTTTATATGATATTTTATGTAGAACATTGCATGAGATTGGAATTCATGACTGATTTCCTTAAGTTTGCATATGACCAGCATAAAACCTTTTGCCCTTCTGTTGATGAGTACACAGGAGAGAACATGGAATATAACTACTTTTGCCCGGCAATAATATTTTAGAAGCATATCTGTGCACTAAACTGATTATCTCAGTATGCTTTGGAGTTTAACATGCCTTAGAAGTTTGCATTCAAATTGAACAAATGAGACATGGTAAATAATACTTGTTGGCACTTGTACAAACACATTACTGAGGGATACAATTAATCTGCCAATCAAAGCCAAAATTGAGATTTTGAAGAGAATAAGTATAAGTTTAAGATCTTGAAATAGAGCTGGAAGAATAGAAATTGTTATAAAAGGATATAGAAATGTGTGACTATTGCAGTATTCGGAATACATCTACATTTTGTATGGGAGCATAGGACAAGCTGCTTAGCTGATACCCTGGCTTCTAGAAACAAATGGTTGAGATTCTTGGATCAATAACCTACTAACTACCTAAAGGTCTTCCTCTCTTTGTAACCTTTCTTATGTTTTTATTTACTAGCAGATTAAATTATATAAAATATGAAAACAAGAATAATTATACTGCTGTTATAATGCAATTTTTTTATTTTGGTTCTTTTTATTATAAATGCATATTGAGGATAGTAGGATTCTTCTGTAATACACACAGTTCTGGCTCAGAGTTTTGAAGACCCATGTGCAGAATGATGGTTGATACCCTTTCTAAAACATCATTCTTAGACGTATCTCGAAGATGCAGTTTTTTTTACATTGGGGTTCCTTCGTTATGTTTGTTGAATTATAGTACAATTATTGCATTTCCTGTGCTGCAAAAGTTTGAAAACCCACATTTACGAATCTGCATATTCTATATGTGTACATCTGTTTTTTTCATGGCATATTTTGATTCTTCATAAGAGATAAATAATTTCTAACCTGCTTTTATGAAAAGTAGTTTCAGAATTCTGTAGTGACTAACTTTATTCTAATGACAGAGATCATTTGCATTACAAATCTAGAATGTATGCTTTAAATGCAACCTGTTATAGCATTAGCTACAATATGTGTCAGTAATACATACATAGCTTTTACCTTTAAAATATTTATGCTGCATACGTCATCTGAGTCAGTCTTTAATAAGTTCTACAGGACTCACTTTTCTTTAAGATTGTTCCCTAGATCTGTCAGAGTGTGCCAAATCTGCATATGTTTCACTAAAGAATTTATAAAGAAGTTAAATCCAGGTAAAGCTATTTTTGTAGCTCCTTTGATTATTGGCAACTGATTGACCAGATAACTTTATCTTTCTTGAAAGCTTCAAGATTATGATCCGGCAACGTGTTTCCCCCCCTTGTAAACCCCTTGTGTAAAAAAAACTCCTGGTCTGTTTTTTAAAAGCTCTTCCATATAGTTTCCTCTTGTATTGCAGAGGAAACTATGAGAAATTCATGTTTCTCTGCTGATTCTGAAGAAGATTGTAGGTTTAATTTTTTGAATGCTTTTGAAGCCTCTGACTGCATTAAGACTAAAAAGTTTCATGCACATCATTTCTTTGAACCCAGGAATGGCCAGATGTTTTTAGGCTGGGAGGATTTTAGTATGAAGTGCAGTATGGTTTACAGATTATATTTAAGTACATGCATTTGAAATATGACTCCTGTGGATAAGACCAACAATCCTAACATAGTGGATAGTGGTTTGGTTTTGTTAGCTGTAAGGGTGTATGGTTATTAGGTATATTATGAACAGTCATTCACAGTAGTAAGCACTATGTCCCACTCCTGAAGTACAGTATGTTTTAAAGGATCTCTGTCCTCTAAGAAAACACCACACCTATGTGTACACACAATGAAATGGTTGCTTCTTTATCAAGTAATCTGCAATTTCCCTCACGGGATCAATAAAGTATCTAATCCTTCACTGCTATTGGCAAGGGTCTTTAAAGGCAACAGGTGTTAATTTTAATATTGCATATAGAACACAAATAAAACAAGACAGCAGCTCAGATGCTGTAAGTATTTGACCTTTTTCAAAATTAAATATTTAAAAAATGATACTTTTGTTATAATCTGATGTATAAATCTTAACTAGAACTAGTTATCTTCTAATGAATAACACTATCTCACAAAAGCACTCAACCGTAAACAATATCTGTGATATTTATCAAATTAATAATGTTTATGCACATGCAAGTTTCTTTTTTCAAGTAATAATCTAGCTCATGGAACATAAGTCTTTAAAATGTTCATCAAAGTCTTTGATCATTGAACATCTGTCCTTCATTAATTAAAAGTGTGTGTAGAATGTATGAAGAATTGAATGCTGAGTGTATTTTTGCTTTACTAATAGGGCTAGATTCATGTCATGGCTTGCTCTCTGCCAGTTTGATTTACAGTCTAGGTGATCCCCTGCATTCTGGACTCACTGTGCAGTAGTAGGTTCTATGGGTAGTTATGTAGCATTCATTCATTTACATGCTGTAACCATGCGCTGCATTCCAGAGAGTTTAATGAGGAGTTTGCTCATGCTGGAAAAGTTTTCTCCCCTGGTGAAAGAAGTTGTTTCAGGAATGAATCTTGGCTTCAGAAAGCTATTAACAGAATACAAAGACGTTGCTTTGGGGCACAGTGCAGATGCAGCTGAAATGTGTGTTATTTATTTCCAGTTGTTGAGGTATGCTTTAAAAGTTAATCCATCAAACCATTTTCAATAACTGCTTAGTCAAATACTGGTTAATGGAACTTGAAAGACACCGGGCACAATACCATACACCCTGAATGAAGGGACTCCAGACCATTGCAGGGTTTAAACATGTTAACATCTTCTCTTAACAGTCTTATATTTTTAAAAATAATATTAATTAAAATACTTCAAATTAATAATTGCTTTATTATTTGAAGTAATTTTAATTTTCTGTGTTTTGCTTATTTGGCTGTAAATTTTATTAAATCAATCATATAAACATGACAACTTTTTCAACATATTTATAGGTTTAGTTAACACATCCCAAAAGGATTTAATCCGATTTTTTAATTTGGCTCTGAATTATTTTATAATACAGTGCCTTATTACATTTTGCAACAGGGTTAGACGAAATCAGATTTGCTTGGTAGAGGAAGGTTTTTGAATGTGGCAAGAGTGGGGTGTGCTTTACCCCCAGTTGTTTTGTTTTTTCCTTTTCTGTTTTCAAAATAAGATTTTTTTTTTTGCTTGCTCCTTTGTTTTGACTTGCATCTTTCTAACAAGTTGTGTCTGTAGGTTTAGACTGATTAATTGCACACCGATTGCTGAAGAGGTGCGCCGTGCCATCGAAGCTGTCCACTTTGTCAATGGAGTACCACGTCATCATTTAAAAATCACTTATTGCATTTTTTTTTTACTTCTCTTATTACTAGGTGTTAGAGGTCTGTTAGAGGTTGAGACCCTACCCGAGCCTGATGGGGCCCGTTGAAGTATCGGGTTTCAGGCTGTGTTTGGGTCGGTTTTTCACATACAGTACAACCGGGCTCGGGCCGGGTTCCGGCTTGTTTTCTAATAAGTGAAAATGAATTATTATTATTATTATTTTTTTATGCTTTAAATGAATTTTTATTAGAAGAGATTCGTAACTCATTTTGCATAACCCGCTCGCTCGTTCATTCTCTCTCTCTTGTATGTGTGTAACGCACAGTAGCCCAGAAAAGCACCGTCAAACTGTGATATTCCGCCTCCGTGTCTACTCGCTCTGAGATAGAAAAGATAGTGTCCGATTCCAGTTCGGGTCTCAAATTTGGCAGTACCGTTCGGGCTGGGTCTCAAGGTCTCAGGTATGGGCCGGGGTCGGGTTTCAATTTCATGCCCGCGCAGACCTCTAGTACAGTAGGTGTCCCTTCCTGTACCTTTAGGCCCAGTTAAGGAACACAAATGCAAGGACCCACTTCAGAAACCCTTGCGCTCCCAGCGCCCTTGCTGCGCGGCTTGACGCGCTGCGCTTGTCCCGCAGGGCTGATCGACGGCTACACGGAGGAGAAGGCCGCGATGGAGGAGCAGGTGCGTCAGAAGGAGGAGCTGCTGCAGCACCTGGAGCAGGAGCTGCGGGTGACGGGCAGCCGGCTGCTGGAGCTGGAGCAGGAGAGGCAGCAGATGCAGCAGGAGAGGGAGCTGCTGTCCCGCCAGCAGGCCGCCATGAGGGACGCGGCCGGACCGCGAGAGCTGTGTACGTGCGGCCGCTAATCGCTCCCCTTCCTCGCGGGTTCCATCGCGCGGCCCACCTCTGTCCTGTCACTGGACATCCCACCCTTTTAAAGACCTGGGAAACTGGTCTCCCAGTCGCTCTTTTGTCGCAAAAACAAAATGGCGCCCTGCTGCTATGCACATATTGGGGGGGGGGACGTCAGATTTTATTTTTATGCTTACCATATTGTTCACCATATGCATATCTACAGGGTGCAATTTTTTAGAATTTCTTTGATCACTTTCTCTTATTTTAAAAGATTGCAGTCCAAAATGTTTTTTTTTTCAGTTTAATAATTGAATCTTAAATGCTTTACATACAGTAGTAGGCTATTTTGTTCACTAATTAAATTTTCATTTGCACGCAACCAATAAATACCTTGTACAATCAAAATTAGATTGCAGTATATTGACATTTGCAGGATCTTGATTTGAGACCTGGTTTATAAACTAATTTTTGTATTAATTTCAGAAGGTCTGTTTCTACAGTATCAAGAAACACATTTCACTGTGCCTTTTTTTCTAAGTACACCTGCAGGCGAAAGGCAAGCTTTGTGACAGACAAAACATGTGGGAAGTACAAAATGCAAGACAAGACATTTTAGGAAGACCTAACCGATGTTTTTTTCTCCCAGCATTGCCTTAATCTTCCTCTCCAGATGCACCTAACGACTGTAATGTTCACAACTTGTAAGGCCGCATCTTTCATTTTCTTCTTGTGCTTTCTTCCTGTAGTCCTGTTGCCAAGACAGCATGTGAATTCTTACGCTTTTTTTGTTCTCCCAGGCCTAGTTGACGCTGGCCTAACTGACGCAGCACCTGAAGCAGGTGTGTTTATATTAAGCATGGCCAGTTCATCTTTTAATTGGGCGGCACACAGGAATTACCCGCTGGTGAATCCGATGCTATGGGAAGCTTGGAGCTTGCTTGCCTTCAGCTCACTTAATCTTACTAACGTACAACTTCTGCCTTGATTTGTTTCGTTGCCTTTAATTATAAAACTTTAACAATATGTTCGTAGAGAGCATGAGAGCACTGCCCTATTAAACGCTGAGAAATTAAAATATCCTAATCTGCAATCATCTTAATTTATGATCCCAGAGAGATCTAAAGAAATCCTGCTGCGATTCTGGAGTACATTACTGTTTCCGCGAGGGATTAAAGAACTCTGTCCTCTTTCTGATTTTCTGAGTTTCCAGTGCTGTCGCAACTGTCCATTAAGATGATTGTTCAATTTGGGATATTTCCCTTGCCTGAAATGCACATGGTGATGGTCGTCATATTGGATGTTGTATAATTGTTTTTCCATGGTTGCTTTCCCTTGCACTTTCTTGCCCTTCCTTTTACTAACAGTCTTGTCTGCTTTATCTCCTCATTGGGTAAAGCTGTGGATTGTTGGGATGGGTGCTAGGGAATCAGGTGATAATGTGGTTACTGACTGGAGCAAATCGCTGGGCGTGGACTGTAACCGGTCATCAAGGGGATATGTCACAAAGTGATGTTGTGGATGCCAGTCAAACAATACATAACAAACTAGAATTACAAAAACAAAAATTAATCCCCCCGATCTTTATTATAATTAAGAATTAAACTCTTAGGCTTTAAAATCAATTCATTCCAGTTTTAAAGATGCAAATTGTGATGTGATGGGTTCATTCCCGTATTTCCTTGCTAGTGAGACTTTGCACACTTTGTGTGAGTTTATGTAGCATTTCTGATTCCCTGCTGCTGTCTGTTCATTTATCATGCCTTCAAATTGCACCAATGCCCCTTTGTAAAAAACTATTCAAAGCTGGTGAGTTAAGGAATCCTACTAGAGTGGCATTTTAACAGTGTATCAAAAAATATGGAGAAGCACTTTTTTGCCTCCCTTACACACTTCCTGACATTGCATTCATTAAGTTATAATCTTGACAAAAGCTTTAGAAAAATTCTTTATCATGGTGAGTGAAGTAGAGACAACAGCAGAGAATTACACAGAACACATGCTGTATAATACTGAAGAATAGGCAAAAAACTCAATTTAAAGTAGATTTTAAATTATTCTACCAATTTAAACATCAGTATATGCCCATATACTGTATACATGATAGATTTTTTAAAATTCCCACACTTAAAAAAATGGGAGTAAATGCATGTTCATTTGCACGTGTGCATGCAACAAGAGAGTTCTTATCACATAGACGTTTTTATGAAACCTAAAGGTTGTTGAGCAGCTTCAAAATACCTCCCCTATCAGTATAAAGAATATGCAGCTCAACCTTAATCATGAATGTCATCTATTTAACCTTGTGTGACAGCCACCAACTGAGCTTTGTGTCTGCATCCCTGCCTCCCCTGTATTGTAATCATTGAATGAAGACCCCGAAACGAGAGGAAGGGCCAGCAGCAGCATGCAGACAGCCTGTGTTGCTTTGCAGGCCTGCTGGAGGAGACGGAGAAGCTGATGAAGGAGAAGGTGGAGGTGCAGAGGCAGGCGGAGAAGGAGAGCGGCGACCTGCTGCAGCAGGTGAAGGCGCTGGAGGTGGAGCTGGAGGAGCAGGTGAACCGAGCCGTCGAGCTGGAGCAGGCCAAGGCCGCCGAGTCCGCCGACCTCCGGCAGCAGATCCAGGCCCTGGAGAAACAGCTGGAGAAGAACAGGAAGTTCCTGGACGTGAGTGCACTTGTGCGTCCGCGTGGTCTGGATTATTGTGGGCGGCTTTGTCTTTGCCTCAATCAAGTCGAGAATTAAAAGAATGTTATAAAAACAAGTGCTTTTTTGTTTCTGTTTTTCACATTGAAGCACCAGATTAAAAAACAGCCTTATTACGCTTGTTTTAAAACCTTGGGTGACCTACTGTAGTTTTCTACAGAAACGTTCCAGTCCAGTAGTCTTCTCCCTAGTAATGTGAAAGTCTGTTGGCTAACCTAATTGCACTGAAATACTGCTGACTGTTGAGGGAGCAAAGCTTTATCATCATTCCTTAAAACCAACTATTAAATGTGCAGTGTTACAAAAACTACACGTTGCATTACCATTATATTTTGGAAAAAATAGTTCTGTTTTTGAATGTTTTTCATGCCAGTCATTTTTTGTTCAAAAGATTACCTGGTGCATGAAAATATAATATATTTATTTGTAGTAAAACCTTAAATATCTTGAATATTAATTTTACATTTCTTTGGTCAGTATTTTATGTCTTAATAGAGTTTGACGTACTGTAAGTTATTTTCTTGCATTACTGGTGTTGATTCACAGGAGCAAGCTATTGACAGAGAGCATGAAAGGGATGTCTTTCAGCAAGAGATACAGAAACTAGAACAGCAGCTGAAGAGTCCACAAAAGCTGCAGCCGAGTAGCGAACAAAGAAATAGAAAGGTACAGTATCTATAGTCTCCATTTAAAGCACTGCAGGGTTTTAAACTGTCATCTACCTATTGTGCTCTAACAAAAGGAACAGGTGTCATAATGCCAGTTTAATGTACATAATATGTGATTTTCCCAGATAGGATAGTAGAATTGAACAATACCAAAGTACTATTACTTATGCATCAGACATACAATATGATGCCAAACTCGTTGGACAGGACCTAAGAAATATGCACACATTGATTGTTTTGTAGGAAGTCTCCTTTGTTTGTCATAAAAGCAAAGCCATGAGTTAGGATTTTTCTGAAGCTCTCATTGATGAACATACTGTGGAAGTGCGTTGAACCTTCATCATTCACCTACAGATTTGTTAATTCCTGCAATACAGAACAAAATACATTATTTGATGAAACTCTCTTTTAGTGTTAGTGCATTGCAAGACTTTAACTCTTTGATGGCTAAGAGCCAGTGACCGCACTTCCTGTTTTTATGGAGAGCAAGCTGGTGGGAATGTCTATCAAACCAGTTCCCCAGCAACTCCCAACAGCTGACTGGTTTTAGCTGCTTGGAGCTCTTAAATCTTTGGCCACAAGTACAAAGTGCAAAAATCTTCCTGTCCATGCACAATACTCTACAACAAAGCATTTTGGATGGGGTAGCCTATTGGCTATTATACCTGAACGCATATTGGGTACCTCAGCTGTACGTATGCCCAAGTTGAAGTCATACATCAGTAACAGTAACCATTATTTTGGAGAGGGGGCTTAAGGTAATGGACGAAAGAAATGTTGAGCAATAAGACTTTAAAATTGTCTTTGCGTAGCTGGCATGTTAGCAGTCAGGAGCTGGACATTAAATATAGTGCATTTGCTGGTGCAGTCACTTGCATCATTGGCATTATTGTTGTGAAAAGAATCCACCTGTTAAAGAACTTTATGCATTGTGTTTTCGATGACGAATTGATTCACTGTCTTTGTGGACGTTCCTGCCAGGTGGAGCAGCTGACCAGCCAGCTGAAGGAGAAGGCAGACCGATGCAGCGAGCTCCTTCTGCACGTGGAGCAGCTGGACCGCGACGTCCAGGAGCGAAACGAGGAGATCGAGAAGCTGGAATGCCGCATCCGGGAACTGGAACAGGCCCTTATCGTGAGCACGGAAAGGTTGCAAAAGGTGGGATGTTGATACTTTCGCTGTACGGCAGTCCGAGCTTTGGCGCTTCCTTCCACTGAATAAACAACACGTTCACACATGAACGCTCTGCAGGTTACAGCGATGTAACGAGAAGGCCCAATTAATGATAGAATTTGCTCTTTGCAGAGTGCTGTAGTTCTGGGTCCATTTCCTTCTCTACATCCCTCTATGTGGGTTTTCTCCAGGTGCCCTGGTTTCTTCCCACAGTCCAAAAACATGCTGAGCAGGTTAATTGTTTGTGAATGACTCTCCTGTGTGTGTCTGTGCTCCCTGTGTTCCCTGGAGTGGACCGCTGCCCTCTCCAAGATGCTTCCTTACACCTGCTGGGTTAGACTCTAGCTCAACAAAACCCCGTAAGGATGGAGTGATGACTGAATAAAACATGGTTGAACTTACAGTATATTGCCTGCTCAGTGCCTTTTTGAAAGCTGAGTACTAATGTACTTAACTTGTCCTTTAGAAATCTCATCTTGTTTTTAAGGTGGAGGAGAGGAAGCAATATGCCTCTGTTGACGCCCCAGGAGAAATGACGCTTGAAGTTCAATTGCAGACGGAGCGGGAAGCTTTAGACAGAAAAGAAAAAGAGGTGTTTTTATTTATTTTAGTAAAATTTGATCACAATTGTATGATGTGACATGTATTTACTGCCAATTATAGGGCTTGCTATTGCCTTTACTAAGATTCTGAATTCCCAAAATTATTCAAAATCCTTTCGAAACAGATGCTAGTTAATTCAGATTTCTTTAATTGATTTTATTTCAAATTAAAGAGCCTTAGTGGCATGGAGCAGGCCCTCAATATGGTTACAATAAAGAAAGGTTACAAAATGTTTGTTACTGCTTTTCACTGTACAGCAGCCTTACAGAAATACCAAAGCAATGACAATTAGCAAAAATGCACAACGATGACATCTAATCATTTAAGAGGTTCACTCTCTGACTGTGAGAGGAGGTATTCGTAGCTGTTGTTTCTTCTGCTCTCTTCCAGAAGGATTGATGGCTGTTCTGATTCTGGTAGATGTTGGAATGTGATTTGTTATTTTAGGGAAAAATTGTTGTCTAATCCGTGCAGTATTTATCGCAGTGTAACAGAAACTGCAGCTCTGCCACTGTTACTCAGGGGTTTTCCCAGGCCGTATTATCTATACATGTGTAAATCAGCGTACATAAAAGTTGTACTTGTCCTCTCAGATCTGCAATCTGGAGGAGCAGTTGGAGCAGTTCAGAGAGGAGCTGGAGAATAAAAACGAGGAGGTGCAGCAGCTGCACATGCAGATGGAGATCCAGAGGAAGGAGCTGAGCACTCAACAGCAAGAGCTGGAACACGGAAACACGCTGCTGAAAGTAAAACAGCAGGGCTTCTCCTTTCTGACTCTCTTCAAAGACGAATATAGATTCAGTATTGTAGTTCAGCTCCTTTTATTATTGCCACCCTCTGTGGGAGTTCTTACAATGTTATCTGTTTTATCATACAGATACAATTTGTATGTGCGCTTTTCAAGAAACTCAGAGCTGTTTAGAGTAACACATTTGCTCTATACATCAGAAGCAAAAAAGAAAGTGGTAGAAATTACAGCAGACTGACATAATGAAACTAAGAGTGAAGCTAAGCCGTTCATTAATAGCTGTAATGATAAGATAGGTCTTTGAGTGAGTTCTGTGAGGGTCAGCCGTCACTTAATCTCCAGTGGATTTGTGGGGTCAATTCCGCTGGTGTGATGCTGTGCGAGAGGAGACTATCACCCAAGGTGTTGGACCTGAAGACCTGCATGAGCAGATTTCTGAGTTGGACTGCACTCATATTATAAATACATAAAATACTCTCAAAATAGATTATTCAGCGTATTTTGCCTGAGCGGGAGAATATCTTAAAGTCTGCTGTTAAATTCTGTGTTTAGTCTCCTTCCTTTCCATACCGTCCATACAGTTTCTAATCACTTTATCCAGTCCAGGGCTGCAAGGGAACCGGAACATATCCCTGCAAGCAGTGGGCACAAGGGAGGAGACACCCTAGCCAGTCCATCACAGGGGACACGCAGACACAAACACACACAGCAGCCATTTTTCCAAGAAGCCAATTAGCTGACTTAGTAAGTCTTCGGACTGTGGGAGGAAACTGGAGCGCCCAGAGGAAAAAGACGCCCACAGATGGCACCCCCGGGAGTTGAACACAGGGCCCAGTGTGAACCACTGTGCCACCTTGCCACATTTCCTTTGTTTTGGATTAATGAGGTTCAGATTCCTGTTTTTGCGGCTGAAATGCGTACAAAGACCGTTTTCTCAAAGACAGATCTCGCCCAGCTAGGTCCACACTTCCATTCCCTATCACTGTTCAGTGGGTATTTCTCCATGGAGCCCAGGCAGTAGCCCTGGTCAGAATAGTCCATCGTGGTATTAGGAGCTCAGTCAGGTTTGTGGTCTAAAGGCTCCTAATCTCTAGAAGAGAACATTTGTGGTGCCAGTTTACTAGTTCTCAGGACACTGTCTACCCTTAACTCATAAATAAAATGTATATGTTATTTAGAAAACTAAAGTACCATCTAGTCTTGTTTTAAACAGTATATACTGTTTTCCATAATTCATAATATTATCCTTGTTTTCACAAATTGTATTCCTAGGCCAGACATTAAAACAATGCTTTCTGTGTGATTACAGAATGAAGTGGAGCTTTTAAAGAAATCCCACTGTGACTCTGAAGATGTGTCTGTGGAAGATCGAGTAAGAATTTCTAACCTAACGAAAGTCATGGAAGACAAAGACAGGGAGATTGCACTCCTGAATGAACAACTGTTTAAGCTTCAGCAGCTGGAAAATGTACCTGATAACAAGGTAATACAGGGAATGTATATTGTTATTTATATTGGGGCACAGAGAAATAGAAATGTAAATAAACCTGAGCAGTATGCCTAATGTGAGGCTCATGAGTACTTTATTCCCTGGCAGATCTCTGGCGAAAGAGTAATAATTCAGTCAAAACATGAACAGACAAACATTAAAATAAAATACCCTAAAACTAAATGACACAAAACCTTTAACAGCATCCAACATTAAACATGACACTATTTATAAAACGTTGTGTCTCGGAGGCCTACGTCCTGCAGACCCACATAGAAATGCAGAATTCTACGCTTGTAATCAGAAACAGTTTGCAATACCTTGCATGCATGTATTTCGGAGACAGCGGTCCTTATCTATAAGTTGTGGTGCACTACTCGCTGAGTTCCCCCTTCAAGTCAATGTTATGTCTTTCTTGACATCTTCCCAAATATTCTGGTGAGAAACATGGGACGTCAGCTTCATATATCTTAAAACTTAAGCCAGAATGTTACAAGAGTATACAGACATATGAATATAAAATGGAGCAATAATAGGATATTTAACAATAATCAATCAACAAATCAACATCAGTGGTAAAATCAATGTTGATGAGTGGAGCACATGTAATATTAGATTAATTGAGTCCCTTTAAGACTATCACTATCACCAGACTAGGAGAGAAAGTCTTTACCCTGAGGATTCCACTAAAAAGGAATTTAGAATTTCCTAAAATAAAACAGACAGCAAGTTCTCTTTAGCAATGTTCTTAGTCTCCAAGACTGATCAGGACAATGTCCTTTCACATAGGACAAGCTTGGAGGAAGAGAAGGGTAATGGTGCTGTTCTTCTCTCCAGTGTCCTTTTTTTCTTCAGTCTTCCTTTCAGTTTCCTCCCTCTTTCTTTCCCATCCTTGGTGACTGTTTTTCTATCCTATGTTTCTGAGTTCACAAACCTCTGATGATTTATCAAGAACTTAATTAACGAAAGTAGAAACATCCCTTCGATCATTTGTATTTACCTGAGGTACATACCTCTGGTACAGTACAGCTAAGCAAATATCTCAAATAAGATATATTTTCTTTCTTTGCAGTAATTTGGCAATCACATACTTAATGCTTCATTAATAATTAATTCACTTTCTTAATTAAGAAAGTGTTTCTAATAAGGAGCTGTACTGGAATGCACTGGAGAGGTCTAGTTCTTGAATACCCTTGATATTGTTCTATTTTCTTCCTTTAAAGTAGAGCTCTGAATAGATGGCTGCTTATGGCAATGTTTTTTTTAAATCAAACGCTGAAATACAGGTTAGAAAAGTAGTCCAAATAAATACAACTCTCAGGCTCTACTGATAATTCATACAGGCTGTTGGGAAAACTCCCATATTTACTTACAGTACATGAATGGTATATTTCTTTTCTGTTTTTAGGAAATTGAAGAAAAAGATGAGCTGCTGAAAGAGCTAAGATCTGAAATCGAGTGTTTAAGGAGCGAGCAAGAGCGCTTGAAAAAGAAAAGCGAAGATGAAGTAGAGCAGCTGAATGAAGTGATTGAAAAGCTACAGCAGGAACTTTCAAAGATCGAGCATAAAACCGCAGAAGAATACCTTCCTGACTCTGAAGACCCCCTCAGTCAACAGCACCTACTGGAGAGAATATTAGAGAGAGACTATCCTAAGGGCCAAGATGAGAAGGTTTGTGATGAGCTCAGTCTGGTCAAGGCAGAGTTTGAAGAACTGAAGATGAAAATGGAGCAGACAAACCAAGAACTGGATACCCTAAAGTCTGATCATATTGTGCTGTTAGAGAAATATGACTGTTTGCTGAAGGAATCATCAGATAGTTCTACAGAAAAGAAAAATGAAAGAGAGGAGGAGCTGGAAGAGATAAGGCTGAAAATGGAGCAGGCATGTCAAGAATTGGAATCTGTTAAGGCTGATCATCTCTCCTTGTTAGAGAAACACAGGTGCTTACAGGAAACAATATCAGATTGCTCTGTTGATAAGAAAAATGGCAGAACAATGGAGCTTGAAGAAGCCTTACAAGAAAAGACTGCGGCCATCTTAGTTATTCAGGCTGAATTAAAAGCTTTGGAACAGAGTGCAAATTCCAGAGTGGCCGACTTGAATGCCAAAGTGGAGGATCTTGAGGTTTCTGTGGAAGAGAAAGATTCTGAGCTGCGCTTTTGTCGACTTCAAGTGGATCAGACTCGTGCTGAAGCTCAAACCCTTCAGCGGAAAATTCTACAGTTGGAAGACGCGCTCCGGGAGAAGGTGGCTGCTGCCCTAGTGAGTCAAGCACAACTTGGTGCTTTCCTGCAGCAATCAAAAGAGCACACCAAAGAGCTTTACAGTCAAATTGAAGAACTTCAGGGTCATCCATCTGAACACCCCGGACAGGTAGGAAGAACAGAAGAGTCTGAAAAGACTGCTGAGAACTTCGCAGTTAAAGCATTCAGTGTTGCTGACCCAGGTAAGAAAATGCAAATGCAAGACCATGAAAGTAAAGAGGTGACTAGAACAAAGCTGTCTGATTTAACACAGAAGATCATAGATTTGGAGAACGAGCTGACTGATGTGCAGAAGGATCAAGATCTACAAAAGCAGCTATTGCTTGGCTCAGAAGAGGAGCTGGAAGAGTATGAGAAGAGACTCGTTCGACTGATGAACCTCTTGGAGCAGATCTCGAAGTGGGGGGCAGAAAAGCAAGAGACTTTGACAAAGAAGGTAAAACGATACATTTTGATGCTGTGGACTAATGTTGCTAACTTACTGCATAAGTTAATATAAAGGTCTTGGCAGTCCATGTGTGTACTATAAAAATAACACTTTTGTTTCAATGTCCAAACCCTTGAAGTAATGATCATTAATTATATGATGCTTTTGTAATGATGAACACAGTCATACAAAAGGCTAGAAAGCATAAACATAATTGGCTGAATGCATCAATATGTTACCTGCTGTTGTGAAGATTCCGTCCTGCAATAATTCTAGGAATTTAAGCTTTGTTAACATGTTATCACCTGTTGGGTCTTAACATTTGAAAAACAATTATTTCCTTAATTACAAGTCGCTATTTAAAGAATGTTAAGTCATAGATTAATTAACAGTTGGTGTCTCTGACACAGTCAAAGGCTGTTAGTAATGCTGAACCCTGATTTCTGAGCCTACAACTGGTCCTGGATTAAAGGACATGAAAGTAAATGGAATCTGTCAGTCCTGCTTGTGAAGAATAATCTGTTAAATGTTAGTGGTGTTACTTTAAAACTGACATAAATCCAACAAGACATAAGAAGTGAAAGCCAATTTTCCACTTAGTAGCAGATTATGCAGCTTCATATTGCTTAACACACTTTATAAGTGTCAGAAAGCTAGGAAGATCATACCAAATCCTGACCCTGACTCTTATATGAAAGTGCTCTCTATCCGTAGAAACTGTAGTCAGGTTCACCTGTGTGGTTAAATTATTTTAGTTTTATCTCTTATGAAAATTGATAACAAAAAAACTTATAAGAAATGCTAAGGTGTTTTTCCAGCTAGTAATCTGTTATTTTTTTAGGTTATTTCTTGGTTCTCTGTCTTCTTCACCTGTGTAATGGTCTGCACCCCTGCTGTAAATGTAGTGTGATTACTTTCATCAGTTAAATAAGTAACAGTGAAAAGAAGTTTGAAATCCTGTCATGAATATCCTCCAGAGTACTTTCCAGCAAAAAATATTGTCTGTGTTTTACTTTTCTCAGTCAGACATGGATATAAATAATATGTGACATAAACACAAAACCAATTGTATATTGGGAAGGTCAAAGCAAAGGCCATAAAGTGTTATTTCCTGTAGATTAAACGAAAAATACATTGCATCATCTTTCAAAATACTTCTCATGAGTGTAAAAACAGGAGAAAATAACAAGTTTAAGACTGTTTTAATTTAGTTAGACCACGCTAAGCAACACAAAGTAAAGTGAAATGTCTTGAATTTTCTTAATTTCTCGTGTTCTCCTAATTATTCTAGGCCTCAGGCAGTGCGGGTGAAGAGGCCGACCGAGCTGCTGTGTCTCAGCTGGCTCAGGAGCTGCAGGAGGTCAGGGCTGAGGCTGCTGCCACGAAGGAGGAGCTGAGCAGCTCCAGGGAGCGCGCAGACAAGCTGCAGGAGGAGCTGCAGGTACAGAGCAGAAATCAGCCTGTTATTAAGAACCATTATTAAGAACTTAAGTGTTTCTGCAGTAAGACTCTATTTCGTGAATAATATAAAATCTGAAAGGTTCCATGTCCCTGGGAGGATTATGTGATGGGGTTTAACCTGGGATGCAGAACAAGTGCTTGTAGTATAGTTAGAAGCGCTATAATGAATGTTGTTTGCCCAATATACAAACTGCACTTCTTTTTTGAAATTGTATCTAGCCAGTCCAGAGAAAGAAATCAGTGTTGCAAGGTTTCATCAGTTTAGTTTAAAGGAACAGTATATTTTCTTTTTTTCATTCTGACACCATTAACAAGAGTTAACCAAAGACTCTCTTTTTGGTTTACTGTTCTATTTGAAAAGAGCAGTCAGGCTTTCTCTGTAATGTAATACTTGAAAAGTGTGATGTAATACTTAGTCGAACTGAGATGAGACATACACAAAATCACAGTGGCTATTTTAACAACCTCAACACACCTTTTACCCACTTAGTGGTCACCATTGAGTAATTGTGTATTAAGGTATATCATCTAATACTTTAGCAATGCCGATGTGTAGCAAGTGACTTTTGAAACTAATGTTTTGAAACCTTTCGGGGAACTATATGCTGATACTGAAAAATCAGATTATTTTTTTTTGCCAAAAGAAAACCCATTGCCAATAAAATAGAAATTTCCCTGGGCCTTCGTAGAGTGTATACAGGTCTTGAGGGTTGTTGTTTGTTTTGTGTAGGTAAGAGATCTGTCAGTAGCTCAGCTTCAGGAAGACCTCCAGCGGGTGAAAGAAGCTTTAGCAGGATCGGAAAGGGAACTGGCACTTCATACAGTCAACAAGGAAGCTGGAGCTCCAGAGGGTGAACTTGACTTCATCTCTGACAAGAACAATGGCACAATAACCAAAGACAAAGCTTCGCTGCCCAGAAGGAGCTCTGCTTCCCAGACTGACAAGCCTGTTGTTGTCAATGGAAGCGTCCAAACTCTGCCAGTGGCCTGCAGAGATGCAGAGGTCCAGGCTGACCTGGTGAAACCTGGTGCTGCCAGGTCAGAGGATATTGCCGAGGTCATCAGTCAGTACACTGAGAAGATCGGACAGATGCAGGATCTGCATGCTGCTGAGATCATGGACATGGAGACCAGACACATTTCTGAGAGCGAAACCCTGAAAAGAGATTTGGAGATGTTGCGTGAAGAATGCCAGGCCCTCAATGCACTTGTGGACAAGCTGAGGACAGCAGAGGTTGGTTTGGGGGATTTTTGTGTTTCGTTATTGTGAGTGTATTCTTAACTTACACAAAGAAGGAAAGCTTGATCTAATACAGTTTATTTTTTTAATTAGGGTATCATCTCATCCAGATTGGAGCATCCTGTTACCTCCCAATTTAAAGACGGGTACACCAGTGGTAAGTTTTATGCTACCAATAAAGGCTAGACCAGTTCATCCATCATTGCAATTTCCATGCTTTCATCTTGCAGCATGCTGTAATCAGTGGCGCTGAAAAGGTGAAATATTTCATGCAGTGGAAACAATATTACTTAATATTACATATATTACAATATTATAAGTTTTATATATAGATGTTGTAAAATATTATCTCTAGAGCCTGGGTTTGAACAGTCTGGCCTTCCCAAATTTCTTCTTTGTTCAGCTGGTAAAGCAGTTTCTCACTTATCTGCTTGACCTTCTGAGCACAGTTGCTGCTGATGCATATTAAGTGCTGTTGGCGCTGCATCTAAGTGGTGGATGATGACGGTCTCCTCTTATACATAAAGCACTTTGAGATCCCTTCGGATGAAAAACATTAGATATATGAATCAAGCTACATTTCATTATCAATTTACTTTTGCAAAAGGAAAATGTAAATATTTAGAATTGGAACTTGTGCCTTGTGTTGACTTACAGTAGTAGCAGATTATAGTATTTCTTTTTATAAAATAAGACGGATCATTTCCCATGAGAACAGTTCTGACCATGAGTTTGGTCCTGTCTCACATACTGTACACACCAGAATGATTTTTCTGACCTTTTTCAGACAGTAGCTCAGACTGGAGTCAGAGACTGGGTTATGACATTGGTTCCCAGAACCAGGAATTCAGAAGCACACCTGAAGGAGCCAGAAGGGACAATGAAGTGCGTCAGTTAGCAGAAGATATGCTTCCTGACAAAATTAAGGTACGACGTCACCATTCATTTTGTTGTATTTTGTCCACTACCTTCTAATAGAGCAACACTGATTTTTTCCCCCAATAAATGTTGTTTCATCCTTTTTACATGGATGGAATTAAAGTCAGTTTGCATCTTACATTGTTAGAAAAGTTTGGTCTCTTCCTGCTAACCTTTATTTTTTTTTTATTGATGGCTATTCATGACTCCCTTATTTTGGTTTAGTGAACGCCTGGCCCAGTGTTTATCGTAAAAAGCTGTTTTAGTGTGTCCTTGATACTGGACTTGTTTTTCTCTTTTCTTGGCTCATGTCAGTACTTTATCATCCCAGACCTATGGAGTTTTTTCTTTCTTTAACAGAAACTGTACCACAATTGTGCTGAAAATCTTAATATCTATTCATAAATCGATATTGATAATAGTGTTGTGTCTCTTCTTACTACGTTTCAGTGTGAAATTAACCTTTACTTGTTCCTTTGCATGACAAAAAATGCCAGTTTCAGTTCTGCCATTATGACTGTAAACAATAACAAGTTTCTTTGTAATGTTGAAAAGGATCCCAAGAAAGATACTTGGGTCAGATAAGACTGCTGGTGATACACAGGGGAAAAATCCCCATATAATGGTGCAGCTGGGGGGCCAGTGTTTGTGGACAGGTGGGGTGGAGTGACGTCTGCTCATGTGTCTGTGCAGAGCCTGTTGAGAGAGGTGCATAAGGAGGGCATGCAGGTACTGTCTTTGTCGGAGCTGCCGTTCTCTGACGTGGAGCCCACAGGGGCAGGGGAGCCCTCTCAGAGCTGGCAGAGGGAGAGGGACGCACTCCTGGCAGCTGTCGAATCCCTCAAGACGTTGATTACCACGATGCAGGCTCACAGAGGCCCTGAGGTACATTCATTGAGGTTCATTCCACTGCATCTCTCTGTGATCTGCTTTTTACTGCAGCTGATAGTCAGGCGTCCTGAAATGAGAGGAGGTGAACTGCTGTGCCTTTCGTGAAGGCTGTTCATGGAAGGATCTTGAAAAGGAAGACAATGGAGAGCAGCGTTATTTTAGCACGCTAAATTTTTGTATGCAGATGAAGCTGAAAGGTGACATGTATGATTGTTGCTGTAAGCTGAAACAAAAATGTTAAAAATTGAGTGTAATTAATCAAATATGCAGTCTGATGGTTTTAATTTAACACTACAAAGATGTATAGTTCAAGTCCAAATATGGTTTCTTAACTGGTACATTTCATTTTCTCAGTCTCTCTAAAGGCCATTCAGGTTCCATTTAAAGGTTTGCCATTCATGTGCCTTTTATTTGGGATAAAGACTTTATTGACTTGGCCAGATTGTGACATGGGGTTCTTTCTGTCCCGCAGCCTTTGGCTGGGAACATCGCAGCCGAGCAGTCGGCAGACTGGCGAGGAGAGCTCTTGCACGCTGTCCAGCAGGTGTTCCTGAAGGAGCGCGGTGTGCTAACCAGTGCTCTTAAAACTCATTTGGAGATGTTGGATACAAGCGACATCGTGGTCCACCTGAACCAGCTGGAATGCAGGCTGGACGAACAGGTAAAAGAGGGCAGACTCGAAATGATCAGCCGCAGGCTGAAGATTTTCTGGAGCACTGACAAAACAAACCTCAGCATTTTGATCTCGACACTGATTGCTGAAGGGTGGACAGTCCTACAGCACCTGGTGGGGAGGACACTAGAGATGCTACCTTAATAATGCAACCCCTGAGCGATAGGATTGTTTAAGAAACAAAATGGCTATTTCAAAAGCTGGGTATTACACTAAACTGCCATTTAAAAAACACAGATCTCTAGGAAAAGCCCTGACACCTCACTGCCCTGTTATTACCACCAGCACAAACTGTTAGTTTGACACAGAGGCCTGACGCGATACTTTCTGACAGGACACCCGGCACAGGGAAGCCATGGAGTTCTTGCAGGGTGCTGATAGACAGAGCCTGCTGACGGACGTCAGGCAGCTCCAAGCCCAGCTCCACAGTACCCAGCCAGGGCAGAGCAGGAGAGAGACTGATGGGCAATCCTTACTCGCCTCAGGTAAAGGCTAAGGTCTCCTTCTAATCTCATGGAAGTACGTTGCTCATTGTACAAATCAGCTTGGCGAAAGGGGTATTTCATACAGAGTGATATATTTAAAGATGTTTTCAGAAGCCCTGTGTATAAAACTGTTACAATGAATATGACGGTTAAAAGTAGCCTAATTCTTCTTCTCCAGACACTTCTGTCTCCACATAATGAATTTCATTTGCCACCAGTTTAAAAAAGTACAGAATATCAGACATTAAGAGTAAAAGGAACCTGAAGATCATATGACAGACACGACTTACACATTCAATGGAACAAAGATGTATGATACCAAACCAAAGGAGAGAATAGCTTTTTACATTGAAAAACCTAGACTGTCATTAGAGAATATGTCTTGATTAATAAGATCTGAGTGAAAGGTTATGTTCGGTGAGTTGTAATCATGTCAATTTCAGGTGGCCATGCGCAGAACCAGCAGGCAGCTGAAGGCAAGGAGGCTCTGCTCTCAGAGAGGATGGTGCTGGCTGATCTGAAGAACGAGCTGGCTCAGACCAGGCTGGAGCTGGAAACAACACTGGCTGCACAGCACAAGCGTTTGAAAGAGCTGGAAGCCCTCAGGCACGTTCCTCACGTACTGTAGTATTCCTGTTGGCTGACTCTCCTGGTCATGCTATCCTAAATAGCTTTCCTATAGTATAATCTGCTGCGTATAATATCGTAACATACCACACATAACTTCCTAAATTAAAACATGCATGTTGACTTGACATTGTGTAGCTCCAGGTGTCTCCCCCATTTTCGAAATTATTTTTAATCCCAATTTAAACTTCCTTCAAAATAAAGGAAAAACGAGTCGTTTTTGATTTTATAGGTTTCTTAGAGTACAGAAAATTCTGTCATGTCTAATGTTTGAAATTGCTGGTCAATAAACGTCTTTATTTACAGGACTGAGGTCTCAGAAAAGGCTGCCGAAGTGGACAGACTAAACGATGCCCTGGCAGAGGAACAGAGGAAGGCCAGAGAGCTTCAGTGGGCGTTTGAAAAAGAGAAGTGCAAGTCGGAGAGGACAAAAGAGCGAGAAAACGAGGAGCTTGAAGTAAGTTACTGCGTTTGTCAAGCGGATTGAAATAAGCAAAATCGACTTGTTGTGGCGAAGAAGACCAAAAAAGTATTTCTCTTTTCAGTCTACAAAGTCTCAATTGATGTGGACCTCTGGGTGTGCTATTGTACAGTACATAGAGCTTATATAATAGCTTTTTTACGGACCTGAAAACTGGCCAAGTAGAGAAGCTGGTTCTTTACCAAATTCAAGCTAAAAGCATTTATAAAAGAACTAACTGGTAATGTTGTATTAGGAAGTAATTCAGTCATTGTAACTGGACTAATGACTCATCTTTAATGACCTCTGTGGCAGAGGTCCAGGTAGTCTCTCTTTGAGCCCCCGGTAACCCTTTCCGACAATCGCTTCAGGACCTGAAGCTGGCCCTGGCGGACCAGAAGCACAGGGTGGGCCAGCTGGCCGAGAGCCTGGAGCAGGAGCGGGAGGCGGCCGAGTCCGAGAGGGCCCGCCAGCAGGCCCGGCTGACCCACGAGCAGGGCCGCGTGGCCGAGCTGCAGGTGCAGCTGGAGTCGGAGAAGGCCCGGGCCCAGGAGCTGAGCGGCGCCCTGGAGCGGGAGAGGGGCCTGCACAGCCGGCGCAGGCAGCAGCAGAGCCCACAGCGCAGGGCTGAGGAGGAGGAGGAGGAGGAGGAGGGAGAACAGCGGGTGGAAGAGCTCCTCGCCGATTTGCAGAGGCAGCTGGACGAGAAGCACAGCCGCATCGCGCAGCTGGTGGGAGACGTGGAGAGGCACAAGCTGGAAGCCGCGCAGGTGGGGCAGCAGTGGGACGAGGAGAGGCGCTCGCAGCGGCTGGCCGCGCAGAGGGAACGGGAGGCGCTGCAGCTTGCGCAGGACAAGCTGCAGCAGCTGCAGGGGAAGGCCCAGGAGCTCCAGAGGCAGCTGGACAGGGAGCGGCAGCAGGTCCTCAGGCTGCAGCAGGAGAGGGACCGCCTGGGCGACAGCGTCCGAGACCTGCAGGACACGGCTCGGCTCAGCGAGGCGGCCCGAGACTCCGCGCAGCCACAGCATCCCGACGCACGAGCGGTAAGTCCTGCTTCACTGCGCAGTGAGCTGAATCAGCAATGCCAACATGCCATCTTGCTTATTTTGGCACTGTTGCCTTTCTTTTCTGTTGTAGTGAATTAAGTGTAACTGATAACTAGGACAGTTTGCCAACAATTTTTTATTTCGTTTTTTTTTTTGCTTTTCTCCAGTATCATAGTATTAGGTAGTTCAAAGCTATAATTCATGTGGGGGGGGGACAATAATATCTTGAAATGTATTGCATGGTGCTTATTTGTTTTTGTTTTCAAAGCAGAATCCGTGGAAGGCAGACCTACAGCCCAGTGACAGGACAAGAGACTGGGTCTTGCAGCAGAAAATGTCTGAGGTGCTGACAGCCGGCTCCAGCTCTCTCCCCCTGAAGGAAGGGGCTGCGAGTCAGGCTGCTCCCACAGACTCCAGACTCCTCGACAGCGTCATACCGAAGCTCCAGCTCATTGCTTCCAAAATCAGATCACTTGCAAGCAAAGCTTCCAGCAGGTACTGTACCTTCAAGCTTGAAGAATGTGAACGAATGGTTTTCAGCTTTAAAATGCTGTTCTTATTGCCTGAATCTGCCTAAAAATAGTCTAACCCTTAAAAATTCTGTGTTGTACATTGTGATATTGTTCTACAGAAAAATGTCATCAATTCAGAGATCTATTTTTTCAAGAAACGTTGCTGATTTGTTTTTTCATATAGCAGCAACGGTCAATATGAAAAAATGTCAAGATTTAGCATCACAACTTTGTGGAAGTTTTAATTCAGTGCATCATATCTGACATAGTTTATAAATCTTCAGTGCTAAAGTAACTTATAAAAGAGAGCTTAAAAATCCTATACACTTTTTGAGACATGCAAACTTGTTCTGACCAGAGAAAAACATGAATGTTTTAAAGAAGGCCTGGATTGTTTGAGATGTGTGTAATGGCTAGTGTACAGCAGCTTGTGTGCTGTCCCCTGCACATGATGGCCCTGTCCTTGTGTGTGTGCAGCGTGCCGTTTGAAGAGCTGGACAGCGAGAGTCTGGTGTGGCTCCTGAACAGCGTGCAGGATGTTGTCTCCCAGCTCCAGCAGCTGCCTCCTGTCCCTCCTGTGCCCGAGGTAGGTGATCCCTGGGACTGAGTACTCCCCTTTCCTGACTGAGAGCCCACTTGTGCACATCGGCCAATTTCTCCCGCCTTTGAAGACTAGGAAGTCAGTATACACATAAAAGAATCAATCAGCTAAATGTTTTACAAAATAACTTTGGTGATTGAAATGAACTGTTCTAAACTATTCAGAAATATATAAAGGGCAACTCATAAAAAATGCACCAGGTTTCTGAGTTATTTATTGTTTTCATGCTTATCAACAGGAAATGCTCTAATAATATCTTGCAGTTCACAAGAAGTCTCAGTATTTTACCATTTTTCGATAAGTGTGTTTTATCTCATGTTGATCAGTGGCTAAACACCACTGACAGTACTCGCAGGGTACTCACGTAAAGCCCAGTGCTTTGTATTTTACACCAGCAATGGTAATGACTGAAATGGATGTAAGGATCGTATTTGACTTTTGGATTCTTTAAACTGTTTAAGAAAACAATTTTGAGATCTTTTTGCTTCGAGCTGCAACTTTAAAAGGTGCTATATAAAATCAAGTGTATCTAGGCTAGGGAATCGGATTTTGTAGATGCATTTCAATCCCCCCCTCCCGTGTTGCTCATTAAAATGTAATGGCGTGAAGGAAAGGATTGGTCGAGAGCCCGGCTGTGACTTGCTTCCACACCCCGCCCTGGCGTGTGGGCGAGGAGCTAGTCCTACTGTGCCTGTGTCCGTGTGCAGAGCCCGCCGGTGCCCTCGGGAGACCCCTCCAGCTCGCTGGCCGAGCGGCTCCTCAGGCAGAACGCGGAGCTCACCGGGTTCGTGAGTCGCCTGACGGAGGAGAAGAACGATCTGCGCAATGCCCTCATCAAGCTGGAGGAGGAGCTGCGCCGCTACCGCCATAGAGGCCTCGCGGGAGGGGACTGTGTAAGTACACGGTGATCAGCTTCTTGCTTTTCAGTATCCCTGCGTATAGTTACCTGGTCTCATGCAAAGCCTCAGGTGACTTTATTGTACTGTTTAATATTGCTGAGCCAGTAAATCCTAGAAATAATAGCACAGTATTGGACAGCATTTTCTTACAGCAAAACAACATTCTGTGCAGTCAACAAATCTGCTTAAGCTTTCATATGCAGCTCTTAAAAGGTTTGTTTGTTTGTTTGTTTTTAATTTGCAGACCAATAGGAGCCCCGCGGATAACCAGGATGCCATTGATGCCATCCTGGTGTCAGATCGAGAGGCCTGGAACAGGGAGAAGGCCAGCCTGGAGAAATCCTTGCAGCAGGCTGAGGCAGAGGTGTCCAGACTGCGCAGCGAGCTCAGGACAGATTCCCTCTGCAGAGATATGGCAGGGTCTGACTCCGACAGTACTGCATTAAAGGTGACGTTTCATGTCGGGATGCATGCCATCTTGAATGCATGCATTCAGCCTTTTAATAAAATGCTCATTCACCCTGACTGGAGTTTGCACTAAAAAGGCAGTTTTGAAATGGCTGCTGTTATCTCTAAGGATTTGTCTTTTAACTTGCCTGTAAAAACATCTCTTCCTCAGAGAATCTATGGGAAGTACCTGCGGGCAGAGAGTTTCCGGAAGGCTCTTATTTACCAGAAGAAGTATTTGCTGCTGTTACTGGGAGGCTTTCAGGAATGCGAAGAGGCCACCCTCTCTCTAATTGCCAGAATGGGCGGCCGACCTTCCTACACAAACTTAGAGGTCATCACTCACCACAGGAGGGGCTTCACCAGATTCCGATCTGTGGTCCGGGTCTCGATAGCACTCTCCAGGTAAGCCCACTGGAGCTCTCACACGAGCTGATATGAGTGTGCACAGGATGAGTACCTCCAGAAAGTGTGGGGATGGAGCAAGAACCACCTACAGCCAATGATCTGAGCCGTCCTCTTTGCTCATGTGTGGCAGGATGGCTTAAAACACAGGGAAATCATTTATAACACAGAGGTCTCCATCATTCCTCTCCATTGTGGGCAATATTGCACCTAGGATTTTTTTTAATTCGACAGTCTTTATCTTGGCTGGAGGGGTGCAATTATAACAAGATATTAAATCCATCCATCCGTTCCCTAACCGGCTTGTTCCAATTGAAAAATGTAGGGCAGTACGAACCTATCCCAGCAAGCAGCGGGCGTGAGGCAGGGTACACCCTGGGTGAGACGCCAGTCCGTCACAGACACAAACACAGACATGCAGAGTCTCGGATCTAAGGCCACTTTTCCTAGAATCCAGTTTGATTTTGAACTGTGGAAGGAAACCTGCAAATGTTTCTGTAATTATTTTAATGTCTACTTTATTGCCAGACAGTGTGTTTGTAAAGCACTGCGGTCTTAGCAGAATGATAATCTCTTCCAGAATGAAGTTTCTGGTGAGAAGGTGGCAGAGGGCAACAGGGTCAGGATCAAGCCCAGCATCCAGTGTTAACCGAAATGGGTTTGGCCAGATAACTGGTAAGGATTTTTTTGGCATACATTAATGGAAGAAGTTAAAAAGATTGACGTAAAATATAATTGCTAGTAATTGTTTCAGGGAATTGAGAGTATTCACTGACTTATTTACTTGTGAGACCTTCAAGGTTGGCAGGGCAGTGAGGATGGGGCGTGGGCTGTGTGTTGGATGAGTGATACAGTCAGGGCCAGCATTGTCAGCAGTATACCTCTGTCCTGCTGGGGCTGACACCATCGCCCTTTTCCTCAGGGAACGAAGTGAGAACAGACTCGCCGTATCTCCACCCGGAGGTGTATGGGGAGCGCAGGGCGTCCAGCAGAGGGAGATCCGGCCGGGAATCGCCCAGATCCACCCTGTCAGTGCACCACAGGTACAGGAGGACAGACATGATGTCTGTGAATGAACCCTGCCAGTGCTTATATTGTCCCTGTGTTTATGTAACAGTAAAGAAATAAAAGTCTCTCTAAATGCAGTATGTAGTTGGTTCATTTTCTTGTGCCTGTGCTCCTCAATTAAATTTCAAGGCCCTTGATGTTGCTCTCATCGGTCTTCTTGCAGGTACCAGACAACTGCTGAAGCCCCAGGTTCTCTTGCCTGCTCTCATCTCCAGAACTATGACCCAGACAGGGCACTGACAGATTACATCTCCAGGCTGGAGGCGCTGCAGAGGAGACTGGGGAGTGTGCAGTCAGGTACAGAACAAAACCGGACAACCTTAGGGAAGTATACCTTATTCAGCGCAGGTGTGCCTTTCGAGAATGTTTCTAAAAGGCTTCTCTATGTCCCTTGTGCAGGCTCAACGTCATATGCCCCGTTGCATTACGGGATAAGAAGATGAAAGTCCTCCATTTGCAGACTGACTTGAAACTCGGTTGCCTTTTTCTAATGCTGAGCTGCTGTGTTTTTGTACAGTAATAATGCTGTGTATATATATTTGTGGGACCAAATTAAATGTGTAATATTACTGCCGGTTTTCTTGCCAGCACTTGAGAGGATAAACAGCTTCTATGTATATCAGTCTGCTTGTTTGTTGTGCATAAAACAATCAGTCGTTTAAATGTATATTTGTGGAATGCTAATTTGAAACTGATTTATTTATACTGTGTATTGTGTGGGTGGAGGAATATCTGGTGGATGCAGGGCTTCACTGTGAGACAGCTGCTATAGGTTTTACTACACTGTCCTTCATGAACTGCTGGGACTGGATGGCAGAAAACAGTTTCTAGAGGCTTATTTTTGTAAAGCTAGAGGTTCTGAATTTTATGGGTATTTTGTCAAAAATCCAAAATAAAGATTAATATAACATTTGAAAGCTGTTATTTGTTCTGTTGTACACGCATTACTCTTGAGCGCAGATTGTTTCCCAAGTTTATATTTTACAGATTTTTACATCCAAACTAATTTCCTGAAAATAATATTTAAATTTGAATTTATAATCTTTTTCACTTCATCAATGATATTGTCAATTGAAAAATTAATTTAGCGTAGTTTTATCAATGGTTATCAACGCTTTTTTAAATAGCTGATCAAACCTGACATTCAGTTAAAACTTAGAAGAAACAAAAAACTTTAAACATCCCAATTTAGTTTATTGCTGCTCCTAACATTTTGAACAGTTCCGTACTTTGAAAGCTGTGAGACGCAAGTAATTCATAAGAAACACAGAAATAAATGTTTAAATCCTAACAATCATTTAGTGTCACATAAAAAATTAAAGAAATTCAAGTAAAAGGTATTCCATTCAATCTGATCTTTATATTGGCGGCTTTTTATGTAGAAATGAAGACTTTGAGAGGATCCCTTTCATGGACTGACACTCGTGGCCGCAGAGTCTGTACATTCTGTCAGTGCTCTCGCCGCTTGTATCTGATGATGGGGTTGTGGGGCGTGTGGATCATCGTTGTGTAGTTCACCGTTGGGAAGTAGCCATCCACAAGTTTGAAGTCATACAGCCGGAGCATGGTGGACCAGATCGTCTTGATCTGAGCGTAAGCGAAGTTCTCACCGATGCATCGGTGACGGCCTAGAGCAATCCAGCACGAGGACATTACACGTCAAACAAGCATCCAAACCGTAGAACTTGAACTTGATTCCAACACTTGAAACATAGTGAGAAAGTATTCTAGAGTACTATTGCAGTCTAGTATTTTAAATACTACAAGTATTCTAGTTTTGGAATTGGAAGCCTTGTTTAAGTGCCCTGTTATTTAGTATAGAATAGTGTGACAACCTGTTATGAGGGGTATGTTCTTAATGTTTAGCGTCTTTTATAATGACATAAAAAAATGTTTCTGTCCCATATTTATCAGCTCAGACGTACCTGCTCCAAATGGCACATATGCAAACTTCTCCCCAGCTGCTGGGTTGTCTTGCAGGTAGCGATCAGGATTAAAGTCCAGCCTCTCCACCCAGCTGTCGTGTAGTCTGTGGTTTACAGTGGGGGACACACATACTTGATGGCCAGCAGGAATGGTATAGCCTGCAACCTTCTACAAACAGACGTGTGAAAAAAAGACAACTTTACCACCATTATGTTACAATACCAGATCCTTTTCAATTATTTCTGCCAGTCATTTCAGAATTAATAACATACTGTGGTTTTCTTCTAAAACTGAGAACAGGAGGCATTTCAACACACAAAGGGTAGTGGGAGTATGGAACAAGCTACCCAGCTTGTGGAGCTGATATTCTAGCTTTGCCTGCAAGGACAATCTTGGATCAATTAACTACTCCAGTTTACCAAACACATTCAACGGGCCTTTCGTGTGTTTTTAATTCAATAAAATTATAATGTTTTTAATTCTAATCCATTAGTTCCATCACATGTTTTCATTTTTTTTATGGAAAAATAAAAAAAACAGATAAAACAAGAAACATTAACTGACCAAGCAGTACACTGGCAGATCATTTACTCCAGACATTTTTCACTGGGCTTGTTTGGGCTTGCTATTCTGTAGCTATAAATAAAAACTATACATTTTTAATTCATACCTATGAATTTATCAGTTTAGAAAGGTTATTTTCCCAAATGAGTCAATTTTGTTTACTCCACCCTCCACAATTAAAAAACTGTAGTTATCTTAACTCCAGGTCGATCTCTTCTATACTCATGATCTTGAAATACAACAAAGAACTCCAAATTAATCTTTGTATTCAAAATTAATCTTTGTGGAAAAACAATTGTTAACCTTTTTAAAAAGTGCAAAACATCGCCCCTGGAGATTTGGACTGAATGGGCACAATTGAGCTGTGGTACATCCACACCTGGAGGGAAGATCAGTGGGATTCCCACATGATGTCCATTTTCTGGTTAAGACGTGATGATATATTTAATGCCACTACACCACGCCCCCTAACACCTTCTCTTTCTAAAACATTTTTTTCAGTCGGATGGTAATGATGACTTTTCTGGTAGTGTATCAGGATGATTGTCCAGTCCTCCCTGTGACTTTCTATGCCCCCGGTGCCTCAGATTCGCTTCTCCTCAGTTATAGCCCAACCTCAAACATCGGACACTGACCTGAGGGCCCCTTGCCATCCTCATCATCGTCATGATTGGGGGCCGAAGTCTTAAAGTTTCTTTCAGACAGCGGTCCAGTAGGTTCAAGTCCTTCAGCTGCTTAAAAAAAAGACAAAGGCAATTAGCAATTCAGCCAGAACGGGTGGTTGTGTATCCTGCAGCCTTTCGGATTCGAACTGCTTTGTACAATTCAGGCTCACAGGTCTCAGCAAGCACCGGGCGCAAGGCACGGTCCACCCTGGACAGACGCACACTCACGTCAGGGCCAATTCTCCCAGAAGCCTAATAACCTCCCAGTATGTCTTTAGTAATTTATCAATATGTCAAGACAACAATGCTGACCACTGCACCACCATGCTCCCCTTGAATCCTCCAGTTAATATTTTAATCAACATCCTACCAATTCTTAATCTCACGATTATTTTTGGACCTGTTGCGTTAAAGATGTTATTGTCATGGACATGAATTTAAAACTGGGAACTAGAGGCACTACTTTACACAAAGGGTTGTAGGGGTGTGGAAAGCTAGTACCACAGCTTCTTTCATGAAACAGCTGTTGAATACAAAATCATCTTTAACTCCTTAATCAAGGATTACATTCTATCCACCCCTGACATCACAGCTTGTAAGGAGGCACAAAGCGTCAGAACGCCTGTATTGTAGTTTTTTTGGGATTGTCTGTGAAGGGTGCGCTCGCTTTTGGTAATTCTGCTCCCACTGTGATTTTTCAGATACCTAAAACAGCACAAACATGCCACTGCAGACTAGAGCAAGTGGATCATTAAATGGATATAGAATGAAGCACAATCATCTGAACACAAATCCAAAAACTGCCGACAAACGATTCTGTTATTGTTCCTACATGAACATTATGCTGATAATGGATGGCCAATATACAGCAGGTTCACACTGTCCCCTATTAATCGGTAACACAGCATGTGCAACACTAGTGGCTTGATGTCTGTGCTTGGATAGGTGGGAGGTGTCCTTTTAACAGTTTTTCACTGAATTTGAAACATGATGCACCTCCCTGAATTAGATCAAATAACGTTTAAAATGCAAGGATTCAGTGAAAAATCTTTAAAAGTGTGGCAGTCGTCGAAAGAACTGCAAAAGGTATTTTCTCAAAATGAAGCATAAAAGAGATGCAGGTATCATACGCAAGCTCACTCTTTGCAACCTATACGTCTGCGTCCAGCAGACAAGCAGAGCCCACCTGGTCGTACTGCAGGGAAGGCAGGTCCTCTCCACACACAGCCTTCTGCTCAGCATAGCAGCGTTCCTGCAGTGCCCGGTCTCTGGCCAGGAAAAAGCCCAGCCAGGCACTGGTGGTGGAGGAGGTGTGCTGTCCTGCCAGGAGCAGCCCGATCAACATCCCCGCTATCTCGTCGTCTGTCAGGGCCCGTCCATCCCTGCAGAGTCACAGGGGTCAGAGATTGCACCGTGTAACAAAACAACACTGAATCTGTTACCTTCCTGATTTCCAGGAATACAAGGCACGGAATCCTGGATTGCCCTCCTTTACAAGAAATAATAGATGAGAATACAGAAATGAGTTTAGGACAACTGGGAAAAACTTTTATATTTATTTCTGCAGACAACCAAATGACATTTTTCAGCAATCTGTCCTGATTCTAACAGAAAGTCTTGGATCTTGAGTGACCTTAACTAGAATGACAAGCGCGCAACAATCTGAGCTGAGAAGCAGTAAAAGAAAACAAGAATAGCAACTGAACTTCAATAAGTAGTTTTTTTTTTGTAACACACGTTGTCAGGCTTGAAGAAATGTCCTGCACTGAGAGACTTAAAGAACCGAACCTTTTTAGCCTTGAACAGAGAAGACTACGAGCTTAAGTACTCAAAGGACTCAAATTTCTCTAGTCCCAGTCACAGTCAAACCAGAAGACTTCCTCACTTTCAACAGTGCGGACTATGGAGGAGGACATTTAAACCTGGGAACAGGAGGCACTTATTCACATATACTGTAGTGTCTGCAACAAGCTACCCAGCCATGTTGTCAAAGCTTCTTTCACGCAATGAGATCCTAGGACCAACCAAGTGAGCTCGAAGATTCGGATGGCCTCCTGCTGTCTATAGAAACGACTGCATGACAAGACAACAATGTCTAGAGTCTTACTTATATGTAGCGTCCATGAGCGTCTGCAGCATATCATCCTCTCTCGCGCCGGACTCCTTCCGTTTCTGAATGACCTTGTAAAAGATGCTTTTGATCTCCCTGTGAGCTCTGTCCCTGCGCCTTCAAACAAACATTTCAAACGCAAATAACTGTTAGCAGAGCAGCTTGCATCAGTCTGAAATGCTCTAAAAGCCATACCTGGACCTTGTAGAAGAGTTTTGCTGTAAATCTTGGACGGGCTACAAGGGATGTGTAGACGTCTGTATTTTTTCTGTTGTCCTATTTACAGAACGCAATTGGCCAGTGTATAAATAGAGCAAAAAGGCTGTGGCCATGCTTTGGCATTGGGTGTGCTCCTGTCATACGGAGTCTGTAACTGGTCAGCAGTGATCCCAGGCTGACTGTATCTGCATGGATATCTGGCCTGCCGGTGCTTCTAAATCATCTTCATGTTTGAATCATTTTAACAGAATAACATTTAACCCGTCACTTCAATGAAATACCACTCTCAACAAAGTTTTCATATCTAACGCGGTGTTCGAAAAAAGCCCTCAATGTGCACGGCGTGGTAATGATCACGCCCAGTGTTCACAAGCCAGCAGTGTGCAAGAGCCACACTCACGCCCTGTCCCACCTGAAGCTTGGCAGGGGGAGCCAGCCCGGCAGCAGCCAGGCGGCGTGAGTGAAGCCCCCGTCCAGATCTGCGTACAGCTGGGCCACCTTCTCATCCAGCATGGCCCGGATCTCCCTCCCGTGCAGGCAGCGGCTGGCCGTCAGGATGATGAGCTCGGAAAGAGCCTCAAACAGGTCTGAGCAGAGGGGAGCGAGAGAGAGAGAGTGAGCCGTGCGGATTTAGGATGAGCTGTGGCCAGCCGAGGCTCAGGAGCCACAGAGCCAATGTTGGTAGCTGACCTCTAGCAGAATGGACATGCAGTAATTAGACCAGAGCACACCTTGAACTAGACTAGAAACTACAGACTCTTCTGCTGTTCTAATCCAACCTGTATTAAAGCCAAGGAGCTGCTAGATATACAAGCAGTGTACAAAATATTAATATAATCACATCAAATTCTGAATGGCTTGTGCAACGGAAATGGAAGCATCTATCTGAATGCTATAGTCAGGGCTCATACTGTATATCTCTGCGGCTCAACCCACACCATTTCAGTGTAGTTTCTTCAGCAAAGCATCTTACTTTTTTCTCCACGGTCTCCCCAGCGTGTGAAATAATCCTTGGTCTCCTCCTCGATCACGTGAACGTGATTTCTGAACTGAGCAATGTTCAGTCCCGTCTTCAACATTTTCTTCTGCTCCAGAAAGATCTGCAAGAGCGGATTCAGATCCCTTGATCAGAACATGAGTGCACCTTCTTTGAGGTGGAGCAAAAAAATCAAAAGTTTGTTTTTATTTTCTATTTTTAATATTTAGCTCATTTATGGCTTGTAAATGAATATCCATAGAATGAGTAAAATTATGTGTATGTCAACCTAACTGCTGCGTGTTTAAAACTACTAGGAAAACACAGTTAATGCAAAAAAAAAATTTAAACATGGAGCTACAGGACCTTAGGTCCACTCCTATTATACTGTAAAGGATGGACAATGAGGGGAGGGTAGTCTCTGTGTCACTGTCCATGGTGCTGATCTTCACAGCATAAGTAAAACTACAAGGAGTTCTTAGGCATAAAGTAGGAAATCCCTTTTCCAAGTGCTTGTCGTTTCAAGCAAATTCCCATGAGCTGCTTCCTCTTACAGGGTTCGGGACATCATAAGCCACTCCTTTGCCGAAGACCGGCGTCGTGAGGCGGGAGTACACATCCTCGGCATTGAGGTCTTCGTTTTTGCTGTTGAAGAGCAGGCTGGCCGCATCACTTCCTATCAGGTATGTAAATGTCTTGCCCACCATCGTGAAGCTGAAAACGGGCCCATACTGTGAAAAGAGAAATGTACTTTAAAAAGCAAGCCCATGAACCGTTACCTCTCGCTGATCCGGCTTTCTTAACATATTTACATCACCAGCTATAAAGAAGGTATTTAGTTTATTAATATAAGTATGTATTTCATTTTTTTACAGAGCAAATGAGCAGCAATTGCTTTCTGAGATTTCAGCTTCACGTTCAATGTTCGAGGAAACAATCTGTGACAAAAGTTTACAATTCTTTCAAATACTTTTACTAAATAACAAAACAATTTACAGAAACTGTCCTACATCTTAAAGCAGTAAGTTTATGATATTTGCTGGATTATGCTTTAATGTGTCATCACTGGAGCAGTGGTTGGTACCCTGGACTTATAACTAGAAGAGTGTGGGTTCAAATTCAATTCAATTTATTTTATATAGCGCCTCTCACAACAAGGTTGCTCCAAGGCGCTTAGCAATGCAAGTGACCATACAAATCCCAGGTGAGACACTGTTGTTGTTCTCTTGAAAAAAGACACTTCCCCAAGACTGGTCCAGGCAAATAATCTATATGTTATCTGTAAACAATTCATAGATGGATGCAAATGTAAGTTGCTTTGAATAAAAACATCAGCCAAATAAATTAGCTTAGCCAAAGTGTAATGGTCTACTGTAGTGCACAGCAGTAAATAGTCCTATTCCCTAGCTTGTGTGTATTTTTCCCAGTAGAACGGCAGCCTTACCTTTTCATATGCATTTTCTAGAAATTCAATGGGACTTTTCCCAAATGCTACTGCGTGGCCCAGAAAAGGAATGCTTGATTGGATATATGGAGGGTATTTCTGCTGGAAAAGAATAAAATAGTTTTTTTTTTTTAATCACAACAAAGTAATATAACATCTTAAATAAACCCTGTGGCAAAACCCACAAAAATGTAAATATACTTGCAGTTATTATATACTTATATATATAAATATACTTGCGTCTTGAGACGCATCTACTTTGTAACTAAGCGTAAATTCATACATACCTCGTCTTTGTCCGGTGCCTGTAATTGCCTGAACACCAGCTTTGAGACGTAGCCCAGGCTGAGGATAGACGCTGTGGTAACCAAGACCATGGACGTCAAATTGTCACCCATCTTCCCCACCGCATTCTCGATCAGAGAGCTGCCAGCCTCGAATAACGACTGTGACATCTTCTGTGCGCCTCTCAGTGCCCGGTTTACTAAATAGCCTGCAACCTGCAGCAAACTAGTAAGCTAGAAACGAACTTTATTTTCTCCTACAAACTTTTTGCACCGATATCCAGTTATAAACTGTATTATTCTATGAGGTCGGTCAAGTGCAAGCTTTTAACGGGCTAGCCTACATGCAAAACCGACGTCCCCTTGCGTGGCAGTAATACCAGCAAGCCAAGCCAAACATATCTTTCTGGCAGCGTTAAATCGGGCAGATATCATGAAGCCCAAAAAAATATCCTGGACTCGCAGCTGCGTCCAGTAGGGAACGGTTTTTCTTCAGGGCGGCTTGATATCTCTACCGAATAGCTTCGTGTTCTGCGTCTGCAGCTCCGCGCCGTGATTGGGTGACGCGGCCTGAACTGATGTCTGGCTATATGATGTCATAGGCCGGTCTCCTGAACTGGCTACACCGGGGAGGCGCTGCATTGGCTGCCGGAGGAACACAGGGCTGTAACGGGAGAGAGAGGTGTCGTGTGCGGTAGGCTGTAGGCTGCTTCAGAGGAAGGCTGCCGGTTTGTATCCCGCGGCCGGCAGAGGAATCCTACTCCGTTGTGCCCCTGAGCAAGGCCCTTCACCCCAGCTGCTCCAGGTGCCGTATAAACGGCTGACCCTGTGCTCTGACCCCAGGCTTCTCTCCCTGTCTGTGTGTCTCATGGAGAGCAGGCTGGGGTATGAGAAAAGACGAATTCCTAATGCAAGAAATTGTATATGGCCAATAAAGTGATCCGATCTTGTCTACATAGTTCACGCTGTATGAAGGGCACAGTAGAGTACGTGTTTTAAGTGTAGTCATGAAGCTGATTTATTTCCAACTATACAATATTTAATACAAAATCATTGCACTAAATATTTTTTAAAGATACGCAATTGCACAGGTGATTTTTACACGTGTGTAGCTATATCTACAGGACAAGATAATGTTAACTGAAATACAATTGAGGTTTATTGAAGAGCTCCCTTATGTGTGATACGGATTGCATTGTTTGTACCGGGAAAGTCAGATCTGTATGTTGTGAATCCTTTTTAAAAATGCCATGTGTTAAACGTCATTCATATCAATATGTCTGGCTCCTCGGCGTTTAGGATCAGTAAGATTTTATTCTCTCCTTAAGAATCTACAGTAGGGTTGCATTTTGTGTTTATCTCGTAATTGTATTTGTTTCTTCGTAGTTTAGATCAGTATCTACCGCCTGTGGAATAATTTGAAAGCTGACATTATTTTTAAAATCCAAGATCTCTGATAAAACATCCATTTTGATTTTGAATCAGTGCACATAACGTGTTACTTTTATAATCTTATTTGAAATCATTTCAATACTACTTTGCATCTATATTAATCATACAACCATACAGTAGCGCGAATTACGGGAGAGCTAAGCTCCCCTGAAGAGACCATTTGCGAAAATTTTGGGGGGAGGGGTCTCTAAAATATGGAAACTGTCCATTTAATAAAAATCCTATTTATATGTGTCACTTTTTTTCCGGTATAGACTACATTGGCGTCTCTGTTTTGAGCGTGTAGTTGCCGTAGAAAGAGCTATGCAATTGAATGCTCTTACCGATCAAGGCCTCTGGTGGCGCTGTTGCAAAAGTTGGACAAACGGACGAGCTATCAAGTCGCTCCTGCTAACGTCTCAACAACAACAACAACAACAACAACAACAACAACAACAAAAGGCGTACAGTGAATTTGCACAGAAAATGTCCAATGACATTCAGTTTTCAACACATATATAAAAAATTCAGTTTCCCATATATATTTCTGAAGGGGGGGAATGATGCCCAAGGGAAAACAGGGAACTTTACTCGCTCATTTTGGGCTCACAGAACAACCCAAACCGGGCGATCTGACTGCGTCTGCTAGCTGTTGCTCGTCTGATGGTTTAGCCGCTGACCCGCCTGCCTGGCCTGCCCCTCCGAAAACGACCACCAGCAGCGCCAGAAGTATGGGCCGTTTTCCGCTCTCCTGCCTCTCCACGGTTCATCCCTTCCGACATCCGTGACATTTTCTTTGTTTTGTGTTTCAGTGTTAAGTGTGGCACCCACCTCTTTTCTCCTCTGCGTTCAGTTCGTCTTCCTTGTCTCCCTCTTCGTTCTCGGGCTCGAGTCTCTTTTGTGTTTCTGTAGTCTTTAGCCCTCCCTGTCCCAGGGCTGTGGAGGGCATGCAGGGGGCCGCATCAGTGTGGCCCTCCTGTCCTCTCAGGTCAGCGGGGGTCTCTGTCGGCTGCAGAGCTGTGTGGGTCTACAGGGGTCTGGACCTGCAGCTGCATTGCAGGGGCGTCAGAGGGGCTGGGTGTGCTTCTCTCTGTGTCTGCTCCACAGGAAGCCTCTTCTCCCGGGAAGATGGCACCAGTGTTGTTGTCCTCTGTTTGTGCCCTGCTCTGTATCTCCTCACCATTGTCAATTTTGTCACAAACATCATTTTTTCCTGCTGGCTCATTCTTTGTTTTTTCAGTCTCATCCTCACCCCTGGCACCATTTTCACCATGTTGCCCTTTTTTCGTCCTCAGGTCTTTCATTTTTATCTGTAGGTTCGACCTCCTTCTCCTCGTTTCCCTTGTCCTCGTTTTCTTTAGCGGTCCCTTCCCCATCCCTGTCCTCCAACTCCTTCATTCTTCCTTCTCCTTTTAGTTCATTGTCATTGTCATTGAACTGCTTGTTTGTGGTTTTGCTGATGATCTGTTGGCGTTTTCTCCTCTCACGTCTCCAGGCTGTGGGAGCGCAGTGGGGATGGAGCTGCTCTCTAGCTCAGATTCCTGTAGTGGCCCAGGCCTGTTCTGTGGTTCTGTCCCAGATTCTGTGGGGCCTGAGTTCTCTCTTGCTGGCACTGACAGGTTTGGCGTCTCTTGTCTCTGGGTTTTAGTTGATAGAAGTTCTTGGTCATTCTTTTTGAATTCCTCTTGATGCTGGATCTTATTTGTGTTAAGCGTCTCACTGCTGCTGGACTGAATTTGGGAGGTTTCACAACGGCTCTCACAAGCTGGGCTGTTGATTGCAGACTCACGTTTGCCCCCATGTGTTGTTCCTAAAGGCTTGCTCTTGACCCGGGCTCCTCCAGCTCTTCTGTTCCTATTTTGTCTAAGGATCTTGCTGGCCTTCGCCCTTCCTCTCCTTTGCTCTCTTTTTCTCCTCTTCCTCTCCAACTTGCTCCTTCCTCTCTGTCATCGAATCGATCAGCTGTGTTTCTGTGTTTCTCTGACAGTCCCATAACTTTCCTTTATGCTTTATTTGTGATTTCCACCCTTTTCCTTCATGTCAACCAATTTTGTAAGCCTTTTAAAACATGCATGTTTCAGTTTCGGTAGAATTGCAATATGTGCACATATCCGATAGTGCGCAAATCTACATATTGTAACGAATCCAGGTTTCGGTACGGAATGGAGCAGGCATTGGACTCAGGGAATAAGGCTGAACACTTGAACTGGGAAAGATGCACACACAGGGACAGAGGTCTGGCACACAGACACGAAGGGAAGGGCTGTCTCCCGGCCTCCGCCCCACTATATACAGTCCCGCAGTCCCACCCCCAGGCGCCTCTCTCAGCCCGCTTGCCCGCGCATTTATCAAGAAATCTGACAGCTCTGTTATTCTGGCTCTAAATAAAACACTCTTTAGATATAAGTGTGTTGTGATTGATATAATAGAGGTCCACAGTACGGAATTGGTATAATATCTGCATGATATTATATTCATGATATTATATGAATATTATATGATATTATATGAATATATTCATATACATGATATTATATCTTTTCTCATTTATATAGTATTCCACCCGTTTACCCTGCCTCAGTACTTTGCAATGAAGAGCTGCTGGTGGGAAGGAGATGTGTTATAAAACACCGTTTAAGGGAGCACAATATTGAGCTGTTACTAACGTGTTTCATCCATTAACGCCATCTTTCTGGTAGTGCTTATTATCGAACATTATAATATTATCGAAGAGTGCAGAAACTCCTGAACCGTCACGGGGCCGAATCGCATGTTGTCACGCCCCGCCGGCCGCACTCGCGTCGTCCTGTTGCCCCTGGCAACGGCAACGCGCCCGCGAGCTGCGCGCCTGTCGCTCGAACGAGATCGGGGGGCCGTTCAATTCAGCCAGACCGTTTTCAGTCAGGCCCCCGATCTAGATCAATAATCTTGTTCGTTAGATGCCCTGTTTGGTTTCTTCAAACCTGCTCATCGTTGTTCTGGTGTCAGAGCTCCAGTTTCCGTGCGAGCGGTCGCCGCCGCTCTGTGAACGAAAGTTTGTTTTCTGTGCTTCTTTTGTCCTGGTCGGTTTTATTTCTTTTTTTTTTTTGCCCCGTGTTTTCGCCTCTTTCCTTTGTATTTTTTTTTTTTTTTTGTTGTTTTGTCTATTATTTCTTCTTTGTTTGGTCGTCCTCCTTTCTTTTTTTTTTTTCTTGTGGGCTCGTTTCTTTTTTTTTTTTGGTTCGTTCTTACTGGTCCGTTGGTTTTTTTTTTTGTTTGTGTTTGTTTCTTTTTTCTCTCAGCCCTCACTCCCTCCCGTAGGTTTGCTTCCGGTCTGTTTGCTGCCGCCCCCCGTCTGTCTTTGTTTGTTTCCGGTCGCTCGCTTTCTTTGTGGGGGTCGCTGTGTTTTGTTTTTGGTGGGGAAGGCAGACTTTGTGTTCCAGATTTTAAATGACTTACAGACCTTGCTGGGTTTCTGTGGTGTGATCACACAAATCGGGAAAACCTCGTCCAATCTGAAATTTCAGTGAACACACGTGTACTGTTTGTCGTCTTTAATTTTAATCTTTTTTCGTTTTAAAAGCTTGGCTGGAATTGTATGTTAAAAACAAGTTACATTGTTATTAATCAGAGAATATAAAATATAATAGAAAATCTGCACATAAAATATACTTTTTTTTCTAATTGCAAAATAGTGTAATTCCATACCAGTCAAACATCTTTAAAGTAAGTGCTCAAGTTGTCAATTTAGGAAGGGGCTGAGAAACGTGTCACTCTAACGGCACATGCCGTTTTCATTGCGATGAGTGTTGGACACAGTGGGTTGTGTTCTCTGCTGAGGGTCTTCAGAGCCTGATGGCTTGTGAGTATATCCTGAGGGCTTGAACACCGGCAGCAGTGCTGTGCAGACCGGACATGAGCAGAGTCCTCACCAGCTGGGCAGTGACCGCGCTGGGCTCCTGGCCGGCTTGCCTGGACACTCTCCACAGGCTCAGAGCAAGCAGGGCCTTGTCCTTCAGCGGCATCCTGTGCAGACAGAGATACACATCCAGCGTTCATTCTCTGTTCATTAGAAGCAGTGCAAAAGCTCGGCTAACAGTTCTAATTACGCCATTTGTATGGAAATAGAAGCAATAAGCGATTTCTGGCACTTGATGTAGTAAAATTATCCAAACAAGAGTCTAGTGTCTAATTGTAATTAAACAGTTCTACACTGTACTGTACCACTTCTCACCCTCTGTAATAGTTATTTGATAATCAGCGAGCATTTTAGTGAGGTCTGTTGCTGTAGATGTCATGATCATTTGAACAAAAACAAACCCCTTTTCCACAGTGTAGTGCAAGTGACTGTGTTTTGTGTGAGTGGAAAAAGAATCAATGATTTTGGGACCAATCTAAAAAGCCACAAATACATAGCTTTATTTCTTCCAGTGCTGTCTAGAAATGGTTAAATACCCGTGAGCTTTCACTTAAGGGTGTGTGTGTATACAATATATGAGCGATGGATAATTTCACACAGAGAAGTAGAAAGAAGAAACAACATGTCAGCTGTTGAGCCTTCCTTGGGCACCTTCGTCACACCTGAGGAAGGCTCACCAGCAGGCTCAGATGTAAGATCATTTCTACAGCCCATGGGGCACTAACATTTCCAGTGCCAACCAGAGTTCACACAGTGGATTCCTAGGATATACAAGCAGTGCCCCCTGGTGTGTGCTCTTGGTATCCATGGGAACCTCTTCTGCTTGGTCCCTTTTATAAGTGAATTAAATTTCATTGCTGCAGTTCTCTCGCCTAAGTGACTAATGAAGTCGACCAACTTGTAATTATGCATAAATGGAAAGAGATATAATATTATGTCCAAACACTCTTACAAAAGAGCTCCTGTACGAGCTCCTTTTCAGTATCCTTAGTTTGTGATTTCATCAGAATAGAATTGCAGTGATAATGTGCTTACCTGTTCAACCCCATAAATAAAACCTGTGTTGTTCCTACCTACCGTCTGTTCTGTCCAGACTTGAGCTCCTCAAGAGGCACTCGGAGCTTTTTGCAGAAGTGTTCAAAGTCCAATTGTGATATATTGTTCGCCACAAATTTGAAGACTTTCTGTAAGATTTTTTCTGAATAAAAAGACAAAGTGCATGTTTTCCATATTAGCCTTTCTTTCAAATATTGTGATGTTGCACACAACATCAGTCTTTAATCATCAGAATTTCATTTTGGTTTTCACAGGGAAGTGGCTGTCTAACTATTGTGTCTCACTAGTAGTGAAGCTGCAGAACAATAGTGTTTAGTAATTAAAAGCCCTAAAAAACTATATAAACATTTGATCTAACGTGTGATCAGTGTACCACTATCCTTGATATAATAATATTAATGTTGTTTGGAGTGATTAAAAAGATATATGTCATATGCAAATACATAATGCACTCTAGTGCAAAATAACATGTTCTACTTAACTGAGTATTTTGTCAGGTCTACTAGTAAATAACACACTGCACCACAGCTTGACCCACCATCTCTCTGAGCTGCACTTCTCAGGTACTGTCCGATGGGATGCAGCTGCTGTCCCTCACAGACTGCTGAGGGTGGCCTAGTCAGAGGGTTCCCCTCCAGCTCCACCTGTCTCAGCAAAAGCAGCTGCCCAATATCACCAGGCAGGGATGTCAGATGATTCCCTGGAAACAGGCTCTGGGGTTAACGTGCGGCTAAAATGAGGACGATGTCATCAAACATAAATGTGTTTCATCAGAATGCATTACCACCTGCCCGAGGGTACTGATAATGGCCTGGCACTGATACAGTTGTTTCATCTTTCATAATCTGAACTGTTACATTTTTATTTTTGATGTGTTTTTGCAATAAGAAGCAATGTATCTCTATGTAGCATTGTAACACTCAGGTCTTCAGTGATAGCACCTTTCAGCTGAAATACACGAATCGGTGCTTTGGTGCATGATTTAAAAGAATATAAAGTAGGTTTTTCGAACTTCTGCAATAGTTTTGAAGGGCTTTGACTTTATTGGGACATACTGTACCACCTATTTTGTTATGAAAACAAATGTTTTAAATTCCCCACATTTCCGAGAGTCAGACCTCTGAAGCTCATATGCTGTAAGCTCCGGAGAGAAGACATGGATCTTGGCAGCTTGCTGAGGCAGTTGTTATTGGCTGTCAGCTTGATCAGGTTCTTCAGTTCTCCAACGCTCTCCGGTATCTCCAGAAATCCGTTGTCTGACAAATCCAGTTCTCTGAGATTACACAGATTTGACAGTTCCTCTGGAAGCAAAGTCAGCTAACAAGTAAATAAGAAATAAACACATTATACAAACAACAATACACTTAACTGATGGAGGACATGGCAGGATATTCCGTTTTACAATATAGAGGCTTTACATCAAGCGACAGAACTTCCCTTTGGTGTTGCACTGCTGTACATAAACGAAGAATCCACTGAAAATGACCCCTACAAATCGATTTAATGAAGCTTAACTTAATACTTACAGTAAAAACCAAAAGAGTTCTGACACACTATGCAAATGTAAAACATCCTTCTTATTAAACTGCCTCAACGTTTGCTACAATTGGTGGCTGAATCAAATATAAGTCACTAAAGATTGCCTACCTTACCTTTGGACCTTTCTTTTGACAGATTCTAAGTTTCTCTAGAGAACTCAAATGACAGGTTTCAACGGGAAAGAAAGTAAAATTGTTGTTGGAAAGATTGAGGTCTTTAAGTTCTTCCAAGTTCCTGATGTCAGCAGGAATATTCCCGATTTGATTTTCCGAGAGGTCAAGGACCTGGAGGCTCTTCAGGCAGCACAGTTCTGCAGGGAAAACTTCAAACTTGTTGGACTGGAGGAGGAGGACCTGGATACAGCTGCAAGCAGAGGTGCCACTTGGAATGCTGTCTATTCTATTACTGCTCAAATCCAAGTAGACAAGCTTGTGAAGACGGCAGAGGTGAGCTGGGAATGAAGACAGGTTATTTCTGTTCAGCTCCAGATGCTGCAGGCTCTGTATTGCACTAATATCTGCGGGTATTTTAGAGATCATGTTGTTGTTCAGGTTCAGACGCCTCAAAGCAGCTCCAGAGCAGAGGCCGGCTGGAAACCTGTACAGCTGATTACCACTTAGGTCAACAGTGGTCAGGAGAGTGCAGTTACTGATCTCTATAGGAACACAGCTCAGCAGGTTCCCTGAAGACTCAAATAAGGAAAGATTTTTCAGATGGGAGATTCCATCAGGTAAGGACTCCATCTGATTTTTACTGATCAGCAGCTCTCTGAGGTTTGCTAAGGCCCCTAAATGTCTGGGTAGTCTTGCCACTAGGTTTCCGTTCAAGGCCAGGTGCTGAAGCCTGGTGCAATTGCACAGTTTCTCTGTAACCACACTGATCCTGTTGTTACTGAGCTGCAGCACCCTCAGCTCCTGCAACTTTTCAATCTCATCTGAAACTGTCGTGAGACGGTTTCCACAAAGCTTGAGTTCCTCCAAGTTAGACAGGCGAAAGAGCTGAACAGGTAAAAAGCTCAGCTTATTGTTGTTCAAAGTAAGTTCTCTCAGACGCCTCAGCTCAGAAATTTGCTTGGGCAAGCTTTCGATCTCATTTTCAGACAGGCTGAGCTTGATTAGCTGAGGGAGGTGACATATAACTGGTGGGAAAGATGTCAACTTGTTGGCCTCAATGTTTAAGATGTGAAGGTTTTTCAAGTTTGACATTGACACTGGTAAAGACATCAGTCTGTTTGCTGCAAGGCTGAGAACTTCTAAAGAAGTCAGGCTGCCAAATAGAGCAGGCAAGCTTTCGAGACTGTTATAACTGGCATAGAGCTGTGCAATATTCGCCAGATGACATATTTCCTCCGGTAGCCATGATACCTGATTATTGCTGATGTCCAAAGTTTTGAGCTGAAATAGTGAGCAGATAGCAGGGGGAACTGTGGTAAGTTTGTTACCTCGTACAGATAAAACTTCCAGATCGGTCAGACTCCCGATTTCTTCAGGCACTATTTTAATATCATTGTTGGCTAAAGAGAGTTTTTTTAAACAGTGTTCTTTCATGATTTCACCAGGGAATGCTTTTAGACCTCTTCCATCAAAAGACAGAGAGGCATTCAGAGTGTTCCTAAAATTTTCCTGTAACATTTTCCTCCCTCAGGTCTCAACGTAAGGTTCTTCTGAAAAATAAATATATTATCAAGACATTAAGGCATGTCATTAAGTGTGCTCTAACAAATTCAGTCAATTTTGTTGTTGCTGTTATTTTCTTATATAAAATCCTTAAATCCCTGTCACTGCAGTCACGTAACAAATTAATAGTTAAATGTTTCAAGTACATTAAAATTCAAAAGAATTTTCAAGTCTTATTCTCACAGAGTAATTGCAGTAGTGATATTAAAATTAAAATTAAAATTAAGGTGCACCACTAACATCAGCAGTGACAAACTTGATAGTTTAATATTCATTGTTGATCATTTTATTTCAAACGAATGCCTGTATATAAAATAGATATTTCCTATTGATATACAATTAGCTTTTGCAAAATAGGAATTAAAGAAACTGATCTACATGTGGAGGGAATAAATCCTATATTAACACAAATTCCACAGTAGCCTAAACTCAGTAATTTATCAAATCTGTGTCCAAAAATCTTATGTCGTTTAAACTTACCACGGGAAGAGGAATTATTCTGCATAAACTTTCTGTGAACAATGCTTTGTAGCACGCTACTTCCTGTAATGCGTTGTCATAGTAACAATGAAACAGGAAGTACTCTTGCTATTACGCCACAAGGATGCGTCGAAAATTGCCCGAATTCGTGAAGTGACACTGGGTTGAGGGGTGATATTGGCGTGGTTTGAGTGTTGGTTGTTGTCACTTGCTCTGTATACTGTGCACTTCCTGTCTGTGAAAGGACAGGGGAGAAAGTAAGATAGCAGAGGCTTTTTTTTTTTAGTTCAATCGCCGCATTTATCAATGGATGCAAATGTACCAATGCCGATCGTGATGAAGAGATGCGCAGATAAGTATGATTGCTAATTCCAGTTTGCATTTGTGGTTAGATGATCCAGTGCCGTCTTGGTTGTACTGTATCCCACCTGACAAGGTACCAACTGGAGCCTCTCTGCTTCTCTGATTGTGCACAAGTTCAGATTTAAAGAGCATGACCAATGAATTACAGTCCTGAGAAAGCAATAACAACTCATGGAAGATTTACAGTAAAAGCACTTTTATTAGACATTTATATCTGAAAACATATTATACATCCATCATTCATTTAACTGTTTTACTCAACACAGCAGGGCTTTACTTCCCAGCAGGAACAGGATACATCCTGTAGGGGACAGTTTTATTATTATTATTATTATTATTATTATTATTATTATTATTATTAT